CAATTATTTTCCATTTGCTGTTGAACCTTGAGTTAAGGATGAAATATCAGACTAGACTGTGAGGGATGAACTTGGTAACAGTGTTAAATGTCATCTAGTTGACCAGATGCACAAAGCATTCCTGATCAGATTGCAAAAATCTTACCATCAAGAAAAAATTTTAGATGACAACCTGGCAAGCCAATGTTGATTGAAAGCTGAAGGTACTGTGTATGAAGAGACAACCTGTGTTGCAGCAGTGTCTCGAAATTATTGCTTTGCTTTCTAATTGCATTTGTTGGTGCTTGTGTGTTGGTATCTATTGGCATGTTTCCAAATATTGGAAAACTATGTTGCAAAGAAGGCCAGAGACTTTGAATGAATTTTCTAATCTAAGATTCTTAAAAGACAGATCGCTCAGATAAACTGCAAAAACCCAACTAACAGGTTTCTGAAGTTCCTGAGAGTCCCCAAAACCATAACATTAGTGTCATCAGAGCTTTTTGTTTTGTTTTTTTTTTTCTAACTAATGAGGCTGTGAGAAATTTTAAACTGAAACCAAGAAGTTTGATGTGTTATGGCACCTGTTGTGACATATTGTAAAATGACTAAAACAAGAATAATAATCTCTTGACACCAGTGTTTTGTGAGCAGGGAAACAACAGACTGCACATCAGTGGCCATGAATATGGGCCCAGAGATGAGAACACTCAAGAAGAAATGTTCATGTATATAATTCCCTCATATGAATTGTACGTCATGGACAATGTTGGTTCTCAGAATTACAAAATTTTACGTGTGCTTTTAGGGCAAATTGAGATCCTTCAACAAGATGCAAAGGCTGTATGATAGAAGATAACGTGAAGGCAATGTTTATTGTGGAGAATATCTCATTACTGCAGGAGGAATAACATTTAATGTGAAGCAACCTTAAGAATCTTAGAATCATTGAATGACTTGGGTTGGAAGGGACCTCAAAGGTCATCTAGTTCAACCCCTCGTGATGGGCAGGGCTGCTAACTATAGATCAAGCACCAGATCAGGATGCCCAAAGCCCCATCCAGCCTGGCCTTGAACACCTCCAGGGACAGGTCATCCACAGCCTCCCTGGGAAACCCAGGGTTTCCAAGGTAGTGCAAGTGAGGCCTCAAGTGCAGCGTAGTGGGGCAGGATCACTTCCCTTGCTGTGCTGGCCCTTTTGATGTAGCCCAGTATATGGTTGGTTTTCTTGACTGTGAGGGCATATTACTTGCTCATGACCAGCTCAACATCCACCAGTATCCCAAAGTCTTTTTTGGCAGGGCTGCACTCAATCCTTTAATCTGCCAGCTTGTATTGGTAGTGGGGGCTTTTGCCTTGTCCATTCATGCAGTTATACCATCATAGAAGGCCACTAGGTTGCTCAAGCAGGATTTTCCCATGATGAAGTTATGCTGGTTCTCTTGTGCCATTTCCTTGCTTTCTGCGTGCCTTAGCATAGCTTCCAGAAGGATCTGCTCCATGAACCTTCCCAACACAGGGGTGATATTGACAGGCTGGTAGTTCCCAGTCATCCATTTTACCCTTCTTAAAAATGAGGAAGATGTTACCTGGGACTTCACCTGACTGCCATGACTTTTCAAATATCATGGAGAGTGTCTTGGTGATTTATTGGCCACTTCTCTCAGGAGTCTGGGTTGCATCTCATCAGAACTCATAGACTTGGGGATGTTCAAGTTCCTCAGGGGGTCACAAACCTGATCTGTGCTCACAATGGGAGAGACATTGTTCCCCCAATCCTCTCCTTCTGAACCAGTCATTTGAGAGCTGTGTGATTAGCAGTTATCAGAGAAGATGGAGGTAAAAATTGCTGAGTACCTCAGTTTTCTCCTTCTCTATTGTTACTAGCTTGTCTATGTCACTCATTTGTCGGGGTACACCCCCTAGGAGTTTCCTTTTCTGGTTGAGGTACCTTTAGAAGCCTTTCTCATCTATCTTGGCACCCCTTGACCAGTTTAGTTCAGTCTGGGCCTTGGCTTTCCTGACCCCATTCCTACACAGCCTAGCAGCATCCTTATACTCTTCCCATGGTACCTGCCCCTGTTTCCGTTGTCTGTGTACTTTCTTCTTGTTCTTCAGTTTGACTAGCAGGTCACAGCTCAGCCATGCCAGTCTCTTGACTTCATTTCCTGACTTCTCTCACCTGATGATCATCTCCATACTCTTGCTGGCAGCACTATTTCTGGTACAAGCCAGGGTGTCATTGGCCCTCTTTGACCTGGGCACACTCCTGGCTCATGTTTAGCTGAGCACTGACTAACACCCCCAGGTAATTTTCTTCCACACAGTCTTCCAGATACTCTTCCTCAAGTCTGTAGCATTACCATAAGTTGTTTAGTCCAAAGTGTATGACCTGGCATTCAGAGTTCAGTATCTTTATCAAAATCTGTTTATCAGTGACTGTCTGCCTGAAGCCCTGTTTCTTGTGGTGTACATCACACAGTGTTCACCCCTTCAAAACAGTGTCAAGTTTCACAGTGTAGTTTCAAGTGTAAGCATCACAATTCATACGTCAAATTCATAAACCAGTACAGCACACTTGTGCTGCAAAAATGAAGTTGCTGTTTCTGACAAGCATGACTTTTAAGTGCTCAACGCACAGCAGAAAAAAAGTTATTTTGCCACCATCTTTTGAATGAAAGACTCCTACTCTGCTCTACCAAAAACCTTGAGCTTTATGTGGTGAAACTGCTGGATCAGTATTGTTAAGTAAATAAAGAGACACATTCCCATATGCAGTCTCATACACAAATACACTGAAGAACACTCTATCTTTTAAAGTAAATTGGTTAGTTACCTAATTCATTCATATACAGCAAATTCTTCCAGAAATTTACCATCAAAAACAATTTAACACGGAGCGTTGCATGAAGTATTTGGGGATGACAAAAAAATCTTATAATACTAAACTAGATATGTGAAATAGGATTGAGAACACATTTTATTAATTTGCAAATACTATCAAGCTGGGAGGTGTCAATCAGCCTGAGGGCAGGAAGGCCCTACAGATAAGCCTGGATGGGCTGGTTTGAAGGGCTGATGGCAGTTGTATGAGGTTCAACAAGACCAAGTGCTGGGTCTTGCGCTTTGGTCACAGCAATCCCAGGTAATCTTATAGGCTTAGGACAGAGTGGCTGTAAGAGTGTATAGAGAGAAAAAGATCCTGGGGAGTGGGTTGGCAGTTGGTTGAACATGAGCTTTATGTTCCAACAAGGGAGATCATGTTGAGTACTAGGAAAAACTTACTCTCAGAACATGGTGAGGTATTGGAACAGATTGCACAGGGAGGTGGTGGAGTCACTGTCCTTAAAGACGATCAAGAAAAGGGTAGATATGGTACTGAATGACGTGGTATAGTGGGGATGGTTGTGATAAGTTGATGGTTGGATCACATCAGGCAAGTCCAACCCATGGCATGGCACAGCCTGTCCTGCAGCTGCCCCCCTGTCCTCTCTTCATCATGGCAGCAGCCCTTCTCTACCAAGTGGCCCAATCTGGCCTCAGGTACACACCTTTTGCTCAGCAACAACCAAAAATTGGTGTGCGATTGGCACTGTCTGAACTGAAACAAGGGCATGGGCAGGGCACAGTGCAGTGCCAATGCATGTTATGCCAAATAGTGTTATGCAATTTTATACATTTGCTAAACACAGTCCAGTGAACAGTAAAAGACATGCAGACTTGCTTTCTGTTTTGATAAAGAAATTTGAGAATTTTCAAGATTCCTGAAAAAAAACCATCAATTCTGTATATGTTTGCGACTTAATTTTCGGTTGATACAAACACATGGCCTGCAAATTTCAAATGTAATATATAGAGTTGCAATCATATTTCAACTCAAAAATCTGATCATGTCTCTTATCAGACTTTTATAAGGCCTGACTTACCAGAGAAAAAATATCCCTTTCTTCACAATCACACCTTATTTATGTCATCATTTTTTGGCAGTGAATACATTTTCGAACAACTATTGTCAAGGTCAAAGGAAAGGAAGAATAAAATTTAATGAAAAGTCTCTGATGAACACCTTGAGAACTCACAAAGAATCACAGCCACTTCTGGCAAACAAACCTGATGTATTAGTTTCACAAGAACAGGGTTGAATATCCTTCCAGTTTTATGTGTTTGTTTTTTTTTAATGCTTTAATAATAATAATTAAAATTCCTTCCTTCTTTCCTTCCTTCCTTCCTTCCTTCCTTCCTTCCTTCCTTCCTTCCTTCCTTCCTTCCTTCCTTCCTTCCTTCCTTCCTTCCTTCCTTCCTTCCTTCTTCTCTTGCTCTCTTGCTCTCTCTCTTGCTCTCTCTCTTTCTTTCTTTCCTTCTTTCTTTCTTTCTTTCTTTCTTTCTTTCTTTCTTTCTTTCTTTCTTTCTTTCTTTCAGAATGAGAAAAGTCAAACATCTCTAGTGTTGATATTTGTAATTGAAATCAAGATTATGTTGAAGACAGCTAACACTATCACCCACTTCAAAAAGAATGTAGCTGTGTGTTGTGAACAGACAGGAGTTACTAAAATTTCAGCAGCTCTGTAACATTTTTTGAAGAGGTATTTTGTCCTCACAGGGCTCAAACCACACATGCTCCATGAACTACTATTGCTTTCAAAATCTGAAGCATCAGGGCTCTTTCTGCTAAATGCCATTAATTACAGTCTAGTTTTGTGCAAACTGAATGTAGTATTGCACTCCTGCCACACAAAATGGATTTTAGCCTTTTTTTTTTTTTAATTGCATTGAAAATTAATCTTAAAAAAAAAAAGGGTCTGATTTTCATAAAAATACTTCTATTTCCAGCAAACTCTAGATCATACATAGATCTTACATAGAAGGATGTTTGGTAAGCATTCCTCCATGACTGGACAGGACGTTGGTATTACAGGATTGTGACTCACTATGAAAGTAGTCTCTGATAATAGTTAAGTCATTATAAGTTTTGTAATGCACCTTATATCACTGAAAAGCACACAAACTACAAAAGACGTATATTAGATTTAAAAATTTTTAATCAATAAAACATATGGAATAATTTTACAGGAAAAACAGAATGCTGTGCAGAATGCTGTGATTTCTTTCTTAAAAAAAAATCCATCTTCGTCATGCTCAGTGGTATAATTAATGAACGTACATTCTGAATCTCTTACTTTGCTTTCTTTTTCTTCCTGGAATTTTATTCTTATCTATACATTAGTGAATCCAATGTATTAAAACAAAGAAACAATATGAAAGTCATTAGAAGAGCATGACCCTAACTCCAGCCTCTCTTTACTATGAGAGAAGTGCAAACCTTATTGGCTGCTATTGAAGGTGTGCTCCCCTGACTCAAGCTCTGCAGAAGGAGGATATTGTGCTCAAAACAGCTCAGCAGCACAGGAGATGTACTGAAAGGCTCAGGTAAGGGCTCAGGATAGGTGGGTTGTGCCTGAGAGTGACAGGAACATAAGCAGAAGCGAAGGGGACTGCTCTAAAATAGATGTGTTTGACATGTCTCCATACAATAGACTGACAACCTATGCAACAGCCTCATTTTGAGGCAGGTGTGATTGCTTAAAGCTCTGTCTCCTTCTTCCAGCAAAGTGCAGTGCTATAGAAACATAGCTTGTCCATTCTTTCTAACATTAGCTAGTTCAGTGCTGACATTAGGAGTGGACATGGGCCAGATTCCTTTGATAGCTTAAGCTCTAGTTATACACCTAATTTATTATATTTTTTCATAGGCTGTTATTTGAATTAAAAAATGTTAGTAGTTGGAACCATAATACAAGCCTAATGTGTCTTTCTAAAGAAATAGAACAGATTACATGTATTACTGATTTTCCTTGACCAGACAAATCTCAGTGAGATGATTCTGATACTTGCAATATTGATTTCAGTAGGCTTTTTTGCTGCATAATGTGAAAAGCAGTAAAAATACTGCTTTTGCAGTGCTGCATGGAAAGATTCTGTGAATTAAAATAGTGATTTAATGTAGTAATCTATAATGTAGCCCATGCAAGAGAAATGTGATACAGTGCTATTCTCTTTACATACTTAAATTTTAAATAGATACTATAATTGAACATTTGATAGTAGGACAAAGGTGAAAACAGAGAAAGTATCAGAACAAACAAAATAGCAATGTGGTTACATGAAGCTTCCTACTGCTCTTAAAGAGCAAAGTGAGGCTAAAAAAATGGAACACTGAACTCAAACAAACTTGCGTTGATAAAATATGTATTTTTGTGCAAACTTCAGGGAAATAGACTGTCCTATTGGCTATTTTAAATCAGGCTGATGCTTTAAAATATGACATGAAAAGTCATCAGGAAAAGTTTAAAGTTTTTGTTAACAGATTACCATAACTAAAGAGTGAAACAAAAAGTGTGTTGCATAAAAGTGACGTGTGAATTGCATAACTTGGAGTGATTAATTTTATGAAGCTAGGAAAAATGAGCTAATGGTTAACAAACTGGGTGAATAACAATAAACACAAGTATTTCCTTTATTACCATAGACTTTATGTGTGTGCATAGACGAGTCACAGCTTCTTCACAATTTTTCCTTCACAAGACCATATTGGGATATGCCTTTACAGGGATATTACAAGAAATAAAAAGTGGTGATTCTGAGGCATTTGTACGCTGTGATGACAAGTGCTATATAATTCTTTCAAACAAACTGGAAAAACCTTAGTTTGTTAACAACTGAACTTTCAATTCAGACTGTACTGAAAACATATTTGCAAATGCTAGTTTGGATTTTTTCCTTCCTTTGAGGACTGTTTAGCTTGCATGATGACTGAAATAGGGATCCTGCCCACAACTCTTCTGCCTTGCTTACAGCTTCCACACGGTACTCAGGACCAGGGCAGCACATCTTGTACCCATTCCCAGGGTCAGGCACACTATCAGGCATGCAGATGAGCCCGGTGAGCAAGCCCACCGAGGCTGTGGATCTCCCACACTGTGCACTGCAGCCCACGGTGCTCATGCAGAGGGCTTGGCCCTCTGCTCTGAGTCATGCCACCATCAGCAGAACGTTGTTATGAAATCACCAACTTTCCCACAGGCAGACACAAACTTTTTCAAGCATAATCCTACTTGCTGAATTCACACAAATCTCAGCCTTTCCAATAACTACCCTCTAACTAAGGAACTAAATAGAAGACACTGAGGAGAGACAGCATTTTTAAACAGTGAAGCACCCTTCAGTGCATTGCTGGAGTTGTACTTGCCAGAATGTTCAACTTAATCTGTGGTCTTTTCTTAAAGAAAAAAGGTGTGTTTATAAAATATATTTTAGCTTTTTAAAGCTATTACTATAAAGTCAGCGGAATCTATCTCAGAAGATAAGCCTTTTGAAAGCTGTGATGATTTTTTTTTTGTTCCAGTGAAATGTGTAGCAACAGATATTCCTTGACAAGGCAAAGGTATTTCTGCAAATGAGCACATCTTACAGAAGCACTCCTCAACATTTTCTGATCTACTGGGAATCAATACTAAATATTACCATGCTGAGGAAAAATTGCAGTTAGCTTTCATGCCTCCATTTCCTTCTTAGCTTTTATGTGACTGCAGGTAATGTAGGAAGCTTTGAAGGACAACGTACAGATAGCCAAGAGCTGCAGGCAGACATAACTGTGGAAGGAAAACAAGTGAGTGAAAGAAAAAGGGAGAAAGAAATTTCCTGCTAAGCTGAACACTCTAAATAGCTTGGGAGAAACCCTTTGCTATCTACATTTCAGTGTATTCTTACATAAACTTAAAAACTTTTAATCTTTGACACAAAATAATTTGTTAAGTGCTTATTAAGTATGCAAATGCATCACTTTAAACTCCTAAGTAAAAAAGATGAGGTGAGAGTTACACTACTAGAAGAAGCTTACCAGTGCTAAGTTTCTTATCTGTGCTCTTTTGTTAATTATAAATTTGTACACTTTAAACTCATTGGATTAAATAGCTACACAACAAATTTACAGTGAAAGTTTACGAAGCACCCTCTTGGCTACTCCAAGATATACAGCAAGTCAAACTTTCAGGGTACCTCTAAGCATTTTCTGCATAAATACAAATATATCAATCTGCAGACACAACTTTCCTTTGCTTATTTGAGTAAAGCGTGCAATTACTTGGGCTTGAATATTTTGTGCATACATTTCCAGGTCTGCCAAAAATCCCCTTCAAGTTCAAACAGTTACATAATTAATGGATATATCCCCAGTGATCCACTTGACAATAAAAATTTCTTGGGGTATCAGCTGGACCCAGTAAAACAAGTTGAAAGAAATTCAACGAATTTCAGTAATTATCATTCAGAGTTCTGCAGATGCTTCTGTCTTTTGAAATGTCATTACCTCAGTTGCCATGTAGTATTTGGTTCATTTTCAAAGTTTGAATGTTCTGTAGCTGACAGTCCATTAAAAAGAGAAAATTTTGAGTATGATATTTTCTCTTTGACAATCAGAGTGATAAAAAACTGTGATTGCTACATACAGATGTCTTATTGCATAATTTGGGATGAAAAGGGATTCCGCATATATATAGGCACACAAAAATATGATTAGGTATTTTCCATATTAAAAATGTTAGAATGTTTGAACTCAGTTACTCTCCAAGAATGAGTAACACTTGAAAGTACATCCTTGAGTATCACAAAGTGACATAAGGCCATTTTCTTCCTTTGATTCATTCAGATGTGTGTTTAATTTGATTGCTCGATGTTCTGATCTCTCTCTCTTTTTTTTTTAATGCACTGGAGTTTAGAAAACATTGTGAACACTGCATGTTTATCTAAGTTTTAAATTGTACAGTCACATTTTTGAGGCAGACCTGAGGAAAAAAATCTTTTTTTTTTGTTTTGTGTTGTTTTTTTTCTTCATTTCTCCATTTTCTTCTTTAGTGGCCTCTTGAAAAATCCAGCCTGCAGAAGAGAAATAAAGTGAATAAAGAACTACTTAAAGCTAGCAGCCCATATTGGTAGCATTTATATGCTAAGCTCTTACCACTATTTTCATACTTGCAGAACAGTAAATAGTCATTTAATTTTTTATAAGTGAAGTACAACATTGCTTTTCCTAGAACGGAAAAACTAAAGAGATGTGTCACAAAAGCAGACAAAAAGTGATTGCCGAATCATTGTTATGTGCACATGGCGTCAATGATAAAAATGCTTAGTAATATCTAGAAGTCAGATAAACAAATCATTCTTAATACTTTTCAAGATTTTTTCAACAGATTATGTATGTTATAAATTAAAAACCTACAGCCTTTAAACTTTAATATAGACAGAATATTTAGCTTGGAGAAGAGTGCCCACTTGTGGCAATTATTACACCACAGACTCATCTTGCACAAAGAAAACCTTGCCACGCATAGGCAGCACAAAAGCAAAATAACCTTACAGTTATTTTCATAATATACAGTTATTTTCATAATATACAGTTATGTATATATCAGTATGAGCTTCAATCATCAAGCATTGCAGGTTACACCTCCGAAAAATGTAATGTTACTAGTCATTCTGTCATTTCTCCAAGATCCATCCCAATTTACCTATTGGATAATTTTAGTGTCCAGGTTCGTATTATAAGGAGGATGGGAAACATAAGCATATACATATTTTATTTTCATGAAGATGTGTAGCTTACCTTCCACAAAGCAAATATGAGCAGTGCAAGAATCAAGAGTCCAGCAAAGATACTCAGAAGGATAACCCATAAGGGGACTGAACCTGGAGGGAGTTCTTTGGAAATCTTAATCATGGTCTGCAAAGTGTTCAGAGCGTAAGCAGTAAATAAATTGTCCGTTTAAAATATCATCAGAGCAGCATGACTGTTATCATATGTGCTGAGTTTCCAAGGTACTACTTCAATCTAAGTACAAGAATTTGCAGGAAGGAATGGAGCAAAAAGCATTAATAATAGGAATAGTAAAGAAAACACAATGTATTAAGTAGAATCACTTATAAGTAACCCAAGAGGGCTTTGAAAATACTACCAATTCATTAAAAAGATCATTTTAATTATGCTTTTATCCGCAGATACAGGAAGCATTTACGCTGCAACAGGCAGAAGTAATTCAGACACATCCCAGGCACACGGGTTGGCTAATTCTGACATTTGGCTCAAATGTGAATTCACTTACTTATATTTTGAGTAGGATAGTACATTACAACAAATGGCAATCAATTTGCTAGTAATGAATGACAACAAATGATCCGATAAAAGATATTCTATGTAAATCCCTGAATTATCATGTTGTTACCTCCAATTTTTGATGGTCATTTCTCAAAATCAGTGATGAGTTTTCACTCCGAAGTAATGCTTTCACAACAAGGGTTAAGCTATGAATACTGGCCTGGAAGAAGAAAGAAATGCCAATGGTTTACAGTAGGTATTTTGAAGTATAAATCTTTGCAGAAATGAGAAATTTGGAAGTGAAACTTAATGATCAAGTTCTGGGAGAGATAATGAAAACTCAGATTCAAAAACTGATCAAAAATCCCTTACAGACTCAAAAAGTCTTTCCAGCTTAAAATTTACTCAAAAGTAATATGCTTCAATATATCCCTCCATACATCTGCTGAATTAGAATTTGTGGATAGGCTAGAAACCAGTTAAATAAAAAAAAAAGTCAATACAGAAAAAGTAAGAGTTTTCTTTCTAACATGTTTTGAATTTCCTTTACAGTTCTAAATACTCTAAGGTAAATAAAACATGGAAATTAATTTGTAGAAATTTTTTAACACTTGAGAATATGCAGACAAGAAAATTAAAGATATAATTTCAAAAGACAGTACAAACACTGGTTTATTTTTTCCAAACTTAAAGATGGGATTTACTTACTTTTATGATGGTAGGTTTCCATACTCTCAAAGAAACATTCACTTGAGATATGTCAGATGGGGCCAGGGCACAATCAATAGATGCACAGCTGAATGTATCACACTCCTGTTTAAAAGTCAGCAACATGAACTAATAGTAGTAGATTTTTCACATTATTAAAATAAAAATGTGTAAACATACTATACCTATAGATCATTGTTTTGTTGTGATATTAATCCTCAAAGGGTATTAGTTATTATTATTATTATTTTTTTTATGTAAAAACTATACCACAGTATGTAGAATGAGTTGAGATTCTTATGATACGGTAGAACAGCTCCCTATGCAATCCCTTAGCCTGTAGAAACCTCAGTTACTGCAGCTGAGCAGCAGAGTTCCCTGACAGAGACATAGCCTGTAATTGCAAGCCATACTTTTCTATCAGCACAGCTACAGCTTAAACATTCAAAATTGTGGGATATCTAAATTGAGATAGGAGAATTCAGGTGTCTTTACTTACCAGCTGGAAGTACAGCAGACATGTTTGATAATTTGGAAACATGCTAGCCTGGATTGTTACCACCCCTATGAAGGATATATGATAAGCATGGCAAAATGCTCATCTCTTGGCATGGTTTCATTCGTAACAGAAACTGAGCTTGTGCCACTTGCATCTCTCTGCTGAGCAGGTAGTATGATGTCTTTCTGCTCAATATGGCAACATAACTATGTTCCTCTGTCTGAATGTGAGAAGCTAAACTTTTTCATATTGCTCCAGCAACTACATTTCTAACAGTTGTATTTGAAAATATTTTTAACTGATTATCTGGAAAGTTGCAAAGGAAATGAGAATTATCAATATTATTTGACAATTACAGTGGGAAAATGAAGGTGAGGTTTACTCATCTGTCCAAAGTGCTGCCATTATTACACATTTGTTGAATTAAAAACCAAAAACCAAAACAAATAAAAAACATTAAAAAAAAAAACCCAAAAAAACAAAAAAAACCCAAGCCATAAATTCAGTTCTACATACAGTTTTGTAGCCAGAAATAATAAAAATATACAACTAGTCCTACATAAAGATAACTTTTAAGGATATTAAACAAAGTGATTTTTCAGAGGATGTAGTTTGACATAAGTTTTTATATACTAACTTCAGAAATGCTCAGCTCAATGTTAATAAATGTAAATCTAGGTTGAAAGCATACACCACAAGGCGGCTTACCATAATTGTATCCTTTGTAGGTTCTTTTGTTTTTGGCAGCACAAATGATTTTCCAGAACCGATCTTCAGGTGATCTACAGGATAACTAGATTTGCAGACAGCATTCTGTTAGAAGAAATAAAAAAAAATATACTTATTGCTTGACTATCCAACCTGTTACCATTAGAAGGTCTTGGAAACAAGACAACATTAATAATATTTTATATTTAATAACATCAATATTTGCTAATTGTAATAGTGGTAAGCAAGTAAATGCAATAATAAAACCAGACATTGCAAGAGGGCAGAAAAGCAAATTCAAACAGCATGGATATTTAAATATCATTACATAAACAAACAAGCTTTTTATGAGATAATAACTTAAATTTTATCCAGTTGCTTAAACATCTGTAGAAGCAAACAACGTCCTCCTGGAAGATGACTGCCACATGATCCAGCAAGAGAGCAGGCTACTAAGAGAGCTAAATAGTTTTTGAATGGGAATCCAGAGCTTTCTGCCTTAGCAAAAGACTAGTAGATGAAGTGCAGGATTCAGGAGCCAGGGAGGATGAAAGGGTGCTGGATCACTGCTGACCCTTCATGACTCCTGCAAGGGCACCTGACAAACCATTTGATATATTCAGTGCAGAGGAAGAGTGGAGAGCTTTTTCCTTTTGCTTCTTTTTTTTTTATTATTATTATTTAGTTTTACTTTACTTTTTCTTTAGATCCAGGATATTCACTTTCACATTACCATAGTGAAGAGATATTGCGAATTTCCTGTGGTCCATTTTGATTTGTGAATATATATGGAATCTTAGGTGGGTTAAATGTGGTCATTGGTTAGGAATGACAATGATGGGGGAAGGAATTAAAGAACAATCATAATTTCTTTGTACACTAAACATAAAATATTCTGATTTTTTTTGTTTGTTTTAAAATGAACCTTGAAATTTCATTTCAACCATTTATTTTCTTTTTCAGTGGTGCGGCACATTACAACTAATTAAACCATGTGGGAAGAGGTGTGTTTCTGTGGAAAAGATGAATGACAGAAAAGGTTCATGTCACCACTTAGTGATATTTGTTGAGCTATTCAATTAGTAAAATAGATCCTAGTTTAACATCTAGAGTCATGGGACTTGCTGGAATTGTGATCTCATCCATCAGCTGTGGAGGAGTGAAATGGAAAAATGAGGACTGAAGACATGGCTTATTACTCCTTCAATATGTCACAGTGCCCCAGATAAGGAAGAAGACAGAAGATTGCCCGTGCCAGAGAACAGACATACAGGAATGCTAATTTCAGAATGGAGAATATTGAAGATGTCATGGACATTGAGCTCTAGATTTAAATGCAGGGCTAGAGTATTCACAAGAAGCACTGCTAAGAATCAGAATCACTGCTAAGAATCAGAAGCTCAGTAGCCAGAACTAAGAAAGAAAGTTCTGCCCCTGGTATCCCAGTCTGAACTTCTCAGCACTTGGCAATATACCAAATCAACATTTTTATATTCCAATTATTGCTCAAAGCTGTTTTAAACTTGTTCATTTCCTTCTAATAATTCTTTTCTGTCTTCCTATGAAATATTCAGATATTACTAAAACAAAAGCATCTAATCTTTTAGTCTAAAGAGATGTAGGCTATGAAGCAATATATAGCCCCAAATGTTTGCACTTTTTAACATGAAAAAAAATGTTTTAAACTTAATAGTAAAAATAATGGTAAAAATACAAACTGCATTCTTACTTGGGAATGTGACAATGCTGTAATGTAGAGAAGAGTGTTTTTGGCCGTTGTTACATCAGGATACAAGATTTGCAGTGTGAGATTTGGCATTGGAAAATGTTCACCTTTTTCAATCTGTAAAAATGAAGAAGTATTTTGATTAATACCTTCTTATTTTATTGGTATTTGATTGTATTTTTTTACTTTTTCCCCCTTCAGTAAGCTGCTTGATGAGTTATGTTTATGAGACCACAAATGGTATGCTCTGCAGTCCACCAGCTCTTTTACATTTCAAAATCCTTGCTTTTGAAATGAGATGAATGATATCTAAAAAATCATCTACAAAAACTCAGGGTTACTGGATTTTAACTTGAAGAATAAGAGAAATAATTGTGAAAAACACTGCAGGTGGCCTAAAAAACATAAAATATTTGCAACTGCTGCTTAGTGAAAGCAAGACCTTTTCCTTGGCTTGCGTTTTATAGACAAAGTTGATTCAGAGACTTTTATCCTGACTATGTGCAGAATCGTAGTTCAGCTTTGAATCTGACACTGGGAAACAAGGATGCTCTCATGATAGTGCTAGATTCAGCACTACTGCAACTTGAGGCTGGGCTTCTACTCCTGTACGTACATTTTCCGAGAGATTTTGATTTGCAGTATGCATTCCATTAAGAAGATAATGTTCTTAGATCACAGCATTCACCTGTTCCCAGCTGGCTGGATTTTGGAAATATCTATTCTAAACTGTAATGGCCAAAGACTAAGTTTACTCGCGTGTGCAGTAGCTCTAAAATACACTTGAATTACTCCACAGCAAATGAACCATTCTGAAAACTTCTGATTCACCTTACTCCAAAGCAAGCAAGAAAACAAGTGTTAAATATTGTCAAAAGTGTCACGTACCCCGTAACTTGAAGCTATCACTTTAAATGACCCAAATTAAATGAGAAAAAAAAATAGTTTTATTTTTCCTTACCCTATAATGCAAAGTAACTTCATCCCCTATCTGCTCTGTTGTGTTAATAGCAGTAGGAATGGTTTCATTTGCAGCAATTATAACATGGTGCTCTTTGAAAACACTGCAGGTTAAAAAACAAAAACACACAAACAGTAAAAACAAAAACTTCATAAAAACTCTAAGTGAGATAATCACAGAGGTATTTTCATTATTTTGTTAATCCTCCGGGTCTAGTCTTGCAAATAAGAGTGTAATGCTGTTTCCACTGAAAACAACTTTTCCTTTTCTCAGTAGTGCTCTCCTGTCGTCATGTACATTTCAAATGCTGTGCACAGTAAAATCAATGAAGTGAACAAATATTGCCTGCACAATTCCTTATTGTGAGAGAGTATGGCCATGTGAAATGGGCAGTGTTCACATAAAAGAGAGAACAAAGCATTCTTTTAAATTTGTCTAGAGATGGATGGACTTGAACACTTGAAATACACTCCAAATGAATAATTTAATATTTACACATGTACACCATGCCTTGTATTCTACTGATAATATTGATGATGGATGGAATTTAACTGAATTCCAGCTGTTTCTGAAAATATAGTGTAAGATCTGCATTAAAGCTTATCTTAGAAGTGATAAAAACAAACCTCTGTAAATATAAAATGAAGACTAATTTTTGAAGTCAGAAATCAAACATCACACCTCACAATATTACAGTGATATGAACTTGTGTCTGTCCTTGTTTCCCTTCTTTTGTACCTGAAATGTCTTTGAATGAGTACAGTAAGAACAAAAATAATCAAAAGCTGCAAACTGCAAATCAAATTTAAATTGATACAGAGGAGCTACAGCAAAATGCAGTAGTCACTGTCACTTATCACTTCACACGCCTGCTCTTTTCAGTGAAGCTTGTGCTTCGTTTTCATGAGACTGGAAATAGTCGTTTGTAGATACTGAGCACAGCTCAAAAACAAAACAATGCTACAGTCTATTTGAACACCTGTCATTTACTATGCTAATAAACAGAAGCACAGTGAAGCATGAATACCTTACAAATATTAATCCTACTTCGTATTTTACAGGAATTGTAACTTGTCCTCTGTTGTCTCTCAAGGTCTCAGGTGGTTCTTCACTGTCACTAAAATAAAACATATGCCACTCATGTCAGACTGTGATACTCATCTGCACATGTAACAGGGATACTGGGGGCAAGAAGTACAAACAAACTGAAATACACACAGCTCTTATTATGAAAACCTACCAACCATTTCCAGTCAATTACTATCTTCTAAATAAAGTTCAGAAGACTATTTCCAGTAAAAAAAAAAAAAAAAAGTAAGTCCTGAACAAGACCCAGCTCAGAAATGCATCCTTGTTGAAATTACACATTGCTGACTGGATGGAAATTGAACAAATAAGGACCATTATTTTCATACTATCTATGTATTTTGCAGGGAGAGCAAACACTGAGGGCATGTTCATCTCTGATTCATTCAGTTCTATGACAGAAAACATCCTCAATGTCTTTGCTCCTTGAGGGCGAGACATTTTTGATAAACTGCAATTTATGATAACACATATGGTAAGTTTGTAAGAGAATAAACCTTTTCTGAAGGTAAAACCACCACTTTCTGACTCACTTCTGGCTCACAGGATCAACAACTTTTTATTTAGACTGCTCAGTCTACTGCAGGACCTAGTACATCTTTAAAGCTTCCAGCTCTATAGGTTGTTCAGGTTGAAAACAGTTAGTTGTAGAGCACTCTAAAAAAATCACAGTGTAAACAAGCAAAGATTGCAACTAACCTTGTAGCATATACATCAACAGTGGCATTTTCCAGGAGATATGATGCATTGAATTGGAATGATATTTTGAAGGAAATCTGTTTGGAGAAATATATTGTGTGTATTTAAAGAAAAGAAAAAAAAAAAAAAAAAGAAAAAAAAGGAAAGAAAATCACATTAATGAAGTAAGTTTGGGCTGAAGAAAAATGAGTAAAATTATGCTACTTTTACCTGGGATCCTTATTCATACCTTAAACTTTTCTATGAAGGAATTTATTTTTTTAAATTTTCCTCCAACATAGAGAGAAATCTAGAAGTCATCACTTATTAAACAGTAGCCTCAAAATTTTCAGAGCCAAGAAACCTCAGCTTATTTCATAGTGTATTAGAAAGACATAGTTATATAAACTTTAGGAGAGCAAACTTCTGTCTTCTTAAGGAATTAGTGGATGATGTCCACAGGGAAACTGTCCTTAGGGAGATAGAACAGAGCTGGTAGTTTTTAAAGGAAACCTTAGTAAGAGTAAAAGAGCTCTTCACCTCCCAGTATAAGAAAACAAGCAGAAGAGGCAGGAAACCAGCATGGTTGAACAAGGACCTGCTGGTCAGGCTGAAAGATAAGAAGGAAAATTACAGGTAGTGGAAACAGGGACAAGTGGCCTGGGAGGAATACAAAGATGCCTTTGGACATGCAGAGATGGGATTAGGAAAGTGGAAGGCAAAAGAGAGTGCAGTTTCTCTGATAGATGAGGAGGGAGAACTGGCAACAACAGACACGGCAGTAACAGGGAGAGGCACTCAATGAGTTCTGGCAGTCAGCATTATCGCACTAGTCTTGTCCATGAACCCCTAGGTGGCAGTCAGGGGAGCACTACAAGATAGCCTCATAAGGCTCAGTGTGTACAACTGCACAAACTGGGTTGAAGCCAGTGGGACGAAATTCAACAAGACCAAGTGCTCGGTCCTGTACTTTGCCCCAAGAACCCCAGGCAACCCTACAGACTGGGGGCAGAATGGCTGGAAGACTGCATATGGGAAACAGACCTGGGGGCATGGGTCAATGCTTGCCTAGACAGGAGCCTGAGCAGCATGCACAGGTGGCAAAGAAGCCCAATGGTGGTGGCTTGAATCAGAAACAATGTTGCAGCAGAAGCCGGGAATGGATCATCCCTCTGTACTGCGCTGGTAAGGCTGCAACTGGTGTACTGCGTTCAGTTTTGGGCCCCTCACTAAAAGAAAGACATTGAAGCCCTGGAACGTGTTCAGAGAAGGGTAATGAAGCTGGTGAGGGCTCTGGAGCACAAGTCTTGTGAGGAATGGCTGAGGCAACTGGGATTGTTCAGTCTGGAGGAGGCTCAGGGGTGAACTCGTCGTTCTCTACAGCCACCTGAAGGGAGGTTGTGGAGAGGTGGGGGCTGGCCTTTTCTCCCATGTGACTATGACTAAAGGGAATGGCCTCAAGTTGCACTAGGGGAGATTTAGCTTGGATGTTAAGAAATACTTCTCTGAGAGAGTGGTTGTTTGCTGGAATGGGCTGCCCAGGGAGATGGTGGAGTCACTGACCCTGGAGCCATTCAAGGAATGTTTAGATGTTGTACTGAGGGATGTTGTTCAGTGGGAAATGTTGATGATTGGTGGACAGTTGAACTGAATGATTTTAGGTGTCTTTTGCAATCTTGGTGATTCTATGATTCTGAGTATATGCAGCTGGTAATGTGAATCCTGGGGTCATGAAAGAAATGGCTGATGAGGCTACAAAGCCATTCTTCATCGTATCAGAAAGGTCATAGCTGTAAGGCGAAGTCCTCCCTGATGACTGGAAAATGGAAAACATTACTCTCATTTTTAAGACAGGAAGAAAGGAAGACCCAAGAAACTACAGTCTGGTGATCCTTCTCTCTGTACCTGGGAAGATCATGGAGCAGATTCTCCTGGAAGACATGTTTAGGCACATGAGAGATACGGAGGTATATTTGAGACAGCCAGCATGGCTTCAGCAAGGGCAGACTATGCCTGACCAATGTGGTGACCTTCTGTGATGGAGAGATGACATGAGTGGAAAAAGGAACAGCAACTGCTGTTTTCTACTTGGACTTGTGGAAGACCTTTGACATGGACTCACACCACACCTTCAAATTGGAGAAATATGGATATAAGGGGTGGACTGTCAGGTAGATAAAGAGTTGACTGGATGGCTGTAGCCAGAGGGCTGTGGTCAACAGCTCTGTATCCAGGTGGAGGCTGGTATTGAGTGGTGTCTCCCAGGCGTACATCTTAGAATCAGTGCTCTTCAATATTGTCATTATAGATCCCACATAGGCAGTGGAATTGAGTGTAACTTCAGCAGGTTTGCAGACAACACCAAGATAAGTGGTGGAGCTGACACAACAGAAGGAAGGGATTGCAATCCAAAAGGACCTGAACAGGCTTGAAAGTGGGTGCATGTAAACAGAATAAGATCCAACAAGGCCGAGTGTAAGGTGTTGGACTTGGATATAGGGGTAATCCCAGATATGAGCAGACTGTGAGAATAATTCATTGAGAACACCCCTGCAGAGAAAGACTTAGGGGACACGGTGGATGAAAAGCTGGATGTAAGCCAGTTTACAGTGCTTGCAGCCTGGAAGGCCAACAGTATACTGGCCTGCATCAGAAGAGAGGTGGCTAGCAGGGAGAGGGAGGCCTTTGTTCCCCCCTGTTCTGCCCTGGGCAGTCTTAGCTGGTGGGGGGCAGCTCTACTTAGAGCAGGGGAATTGGAACTAGATCATCTTAAAGATCCCTTCCAACCCTAACAACTCTATGATTCTGTGATGATTCTATAACATCTGATCAGTGTATTTTCTATAACATACCCAAAGCAATATTATATGTGTTTAGAAACAGAACTTTCTAGTCAGGTGTGCCACTTGCCTTCTGCTAGTATGACTAATATGACTGATGGAAGTGTATATACACTTTTTACATCATCACTAGTATGACTGATATGACTGATGGAAGTGTATATACAATTTTTACATCATCACATACCACAGGTGACTCTGCAGGTTCCCAAAATCTGATGTTTTCCTCAGTGCACTGATTTGCCCACAAGGGTGGGTGATGAGAAATTTACATTGGGAATAGCTTGAGATGGACAGTTTTGGGGTGTATTCCAGACAAAAAAAAAAAAAAAAAAAAAAAAATTCAAAACAAATGCCCGGGCCTTAGGACAGCATGAAAGAATTAGGTTTTTAAGGTAGGAAAACTGTTTACCTCTTCTTCAGGTTTTAAAAATGGATATCCCACTTTACAGGTGATGTTGTGATTAGACTCACAACTATCTTTCTGTATATCCTAAATAAAGAAGAAAGTGAAATCATTATCATGCATAAACTTTTTAAATTCTGACTAAGCATATATATTCAAAGGCTGCTAAAGGTTCCTATTTTATTATGTTGGCCACAGTGTGTGGATGCAATGGAAGCAGATGTTGAACTCCTGGCTAATATCCCATTGCATTTCATTGTTGTGTGATAGATGGCAGCAGAGGGGCATGCAAAAACACAGCTGCTTTGGAGATGCTATCTGAGGCTGGATTAAGGAAGGCACTAATCTGCAAAGATACAAAGAGTTCTATGTCAAAGGAGTATATTGGAATGACAGGAGACATTCTGATAAATAATGAGGCAGTTCTGCATAGATAAGTATATATTCTACATGTATTATATATATATTCAGATAGATCTGAAGTGGTGATTGATGGTTCTGGCATTTACCTGGGATGCAGCTATTTATTGACAAAGTGGCACTGTGAAGTCCATCAGCCATTTTTAGATGGTACAGCAAAGTTGGCTTAAGATAGAACAAATACATCCCTACAGAAGTATAAGCAAGGATAGTACTTCCAGTGAATATTTTTTAATAAATCAAGATGATGTTAGAGCAGTGAAATTAAGTCTTAATACAAAGGCTTCTTTAGATCTCCATAGCAATATAAATTATGAAAAATGTGATGAATGTGAAAAATTCCTACCTCAATGCCAGCAAAAATAATATTTGGAGAATACTGAACCAAAGCTCTGGTATTATAGGCACTGTCTTTTTTGTTCTTGATAGACAGCTGGATGGTGAACCTATCATTGCGTGACTTGACAATGAATGGAGAAGAGCTGTAAAATAAAGTACCATTGTTGGATGTCTTAACTTTTTATATATATTCTTAAGAATAAAAAGAAATATCTTTTAGTGTCCATACTCTATTGTTTCTGTTTTGGAAATCATGGCACAGTATTAGCTTATCATTCTAAAGATTTTATATTATACATTCAAATTTTGTACAGTTATCAAGCAATACAATAAACCCAGAGTAGTTACCTGTCTCCAGCTATGCTTGCTTTTACATTCAGAACAAGATCTGAAATGCATTTATTTTTGGCTCCACAATCTTTTGTGAAAGGAATCTGCAACAATAGTATTTTTATTCTCAATTTTATTATATTGATTATTAAAATCAAATACTTGCATTTTAAATCTTCATCTAACCTTATATAAGCTCTCCTTTCAGACATTCAAAAAAGTATTCCCTAATATTAAACAGTTTAACATGTCAATATTAGCTTGGAAAAGAGAAGACTCCGGGGAGACTTCATTGCAGCATTCCAGTACTTGAAGGCAGCTAATTATCAGGAAGGGAGTCAATTTTTTACGTGATCTGAGAGTGATAGGAGCAGGGGAAATAGCTTTAAACTAAAAAAGGCAAAACTAGTTATATATTAGGAAGAAATTCTTCACTGTGAGAAGGTGAAGCACTGGCACAGGCTGCCCAGGGAAGCTGTGGGTACCCAACCCCTGAAGGTCCTCAAGGCCAGGCTGGATGGGGTCCTAGGCAGCCTGAGCTGGTATGGGGCAGCTCTGCTTAGAACAGGGGGATTGGATCTAGATGATCTTTAAGATTTCCTCCAACCCAAGCCATTCTATGAATCTGTACTGATTCTTCAAAGTGTCAGGTGAAACATATAAGGGAATGATGAGGAAATTCAAGTGATTCATCTAAGTTAGAAAAATAGGCAAAAGGAGAAGTATGAATGATGCCAAGGACTACTAAGATATACAACTAATATTTCCCTGCCAAAGAAAAAAAAGAAGACTGTACAATTACTCTCTATCTTCATTTAACTCCAGACAGCTTTAAAGCTAGGGATTCCTATACTGGTTCCCAAGAACTCATTGAATTGAGTTCTTCACATCCAAGCAGATATTTAAAGGACATATCTATTGGATGGGCTTAAAAACTATCTCTCTTTGAACAATACTTTCAGGTCTTGTGTGGGATATGTGTTTTACCTTAAATATTTTGTTTATTAATACAGAATCTTGCTGACTTACATATTCAGATACTGAATTTGGCAGGTTGTTGTCAAGAACAGGTCCACTTTCTGGATCAGAGAAATTGAACTCCAGCAAAACCTTTACAGAGTCCTGAAAGTCAGGCTTGTCCTACAAGATAAAGAAAATTGTATTGCTGTTATGGACATTCACTTTAATACCTAAGCTAGTTAAGGAGGATAGAAAAAAAAAACAACAACAGCAACAAAAAGAAGGCTGAGATAAAATATTTTTCAGTCACACTGTCACCATCCTAGCTAGATAAATATTTGAATGCTTACAATTGATGATAATGCATTTAATGTGCAAGCCAATCCTTATAAATAACAACTAATGCTTCTGTGTATGTCATTATCATAAAAATGTCACACAGCAAGAGAGTTTCCACCACAGTTTCATTTAAGAATATCTCAGAAATGTCAGCTGGTAGACTTTCCTTTTTAGTTGTGCTTAAAGAATCAGTAAGACAAAGAAAAACTAGTATCATCTTCACTGAAGTCAATTTGAGGTTGCTGCTAAGAAATATACTGCATACTTAAGCAAACGTTAGCTGCCATTTATCATTAGTTTTGAATTACGTTACTGCTGAGAAGTTGCTAAACATTTAAAATGCGGGGAGCTTGTAATAAACACTCAGTTCACCCTGCACATTAGTTATAATCTGGGCAATTTCATTCCTGTAGTTGCTAATTACATTTCTTCTTTTACAGTCAATTAGTATTCTCTATTCGCAAACCTAATTTGAGAGTTTTCGATTACAGTTTTATTAGAAGAAATTGCACCAATAATCAAATTAAACTTACAGCCTATGTGCTCCAGCAGTTTTGAATGTGCCAAAACTATTAACTATGTTTTGAATGTGCCAAAACTATTAACTATGATAGTTGCTTAATTCAACTGAAATGTGTTGTGCTCGTTTCTAAGACAGATCCATAACAAAGAGACAAATATAAACAGAGCATTTAAAAAGTAAATAGTTTGCATCTATGTACATATACAAATATCTAAACAGTAAATGCACTTCATGCACAGTTTTAGGATTAAAAAGTCCAGTTTACAATTAACGGAATACATCTGGATTATTACAGTGCCAACTAGAGAAAAACATAGCCACTTTAAATGATTTACTTGCCAACATGTAGAAGTTATGTTTAATACATTGTGACCCTTTGATAGTTATATTTTTTTGCATTTTCCTCTCATGAGTTTCCGTGAACAAGCTTCGAGATATCTGTCTTTGTGCGTCAAGAGTAACCCAGTACTGTAGACCTGCAAAGGAAGTTGAGATTAATATTCTCCATGATTTTACCTCCAGACATTCTTTTTTGCACTCTTAAAAAGACAGTTGTATTCAATTTTTGGAGAAATAAACTAATGTGGGCATAACATTTTTGTAACATATCTCGAGCTTTCCTACTTACTGGATTCAAATATATCTTCCTTTGACTTTAGTCTGGTCTTAAAACAAATTGTGGCATTTATGCATATTGTTTTTCTTTTGTTTATCTGACAGTTTTGCTGTTGGATATTGATACTTTTGGGCATAAACTGCATAGAAACATTTACTTCAGCCACATCACGAGACCTTAACAAAAATAAAACAAACGAAAATGTTAGAGGAAGCATCTTGAAGACAATATTAGCAACTTATTTTTTTTAATTTTTAAGAATGAACATATAAAATTTGCAACACTGAACACTGAAATACACACATATTATAGTCTAAATAATTAACTATACACTTATTACCCATTATCAGTAAGCAACATATTAAAGAGAAAATAGTCACAGGGTCTCTCCACAGTCTGTATTTGTTTCAGACTGATGAAAGGAAGTATCTCAAAAAGGCATTTAAGGAACTCTAAAGAGCTGATTCCACTTCAAAAGAGACTGAAGACCCAGACTGATTCTTAAGGACAGCCTCAGGCAAACAAATTATTATACAAGGGCTAGAGGCTAGTGTGTCATTTTTAGTTTGTGGGTAGATAAACAGGCTGGGATTTACTACCATTTTTTTCCCACTTTTAACATCCTTCTGCCCTGCTCCCCTGTAAACCTTTGCTTTGGATCTGTTCATTCTTGGCCTCAATATGGAATATGCCAGTGTAGTAAATCAGGAGAAAATGGCAGAATAGCTTCTTTTCTCCCAGATTTATGATTTGACATGACAGTGAAGAAGGAGGTGAATCCTGTACCCAGAAAATGTAGGGGTGGCAAGAGTTGTATAAAAGGGTTAGGTGGCAGGAAGGAAAAGGACAGGAGGTATGGCCAGCAGGTCTGGGATCCTGGGAAGAGCAGTGTGGGCTGCAAGCTCTTACTTCCTCCTCATAGTCATCCCTTACTAGACAAGTTCTGCCTTTCCTTTTTCCCATCCTGCATGCACCGTGGGTCACTTAAAACAACAAAAGCTTTGTTGCAGCTGCATGGTGACCAGACTGAGGAGCAGGTCAAAGTTAAAAAATGAACAAGGAAAATAAAGGGTGAGAGGGGACCGGGTGACTTTTGTTCCAGCTGGATGAGATTCTCAGCTAGTTCACTGCACGGCTGCACAAACATTTGGGAGGAGAGCAGTAAGCAGTGGGACTGTTCAGCCAGTGCTAGTCCTGCCCAAAGAGAAAGCCAAACTTCCATATGAAGAAGTATGCTAGTCACTCACATGTACTCTCCTATGAAGCAACAATATTAAATGAAATCCACATGAAAGAATTTTAAGAAAAAATTTGCTTTACCTCACACTTAACGATAGTTACAAGAATTGGCTAAGCATTGCTGACCTGTCTATGGAGCATTTATCACACTGGACTATACGACTCACTGAGAATAATTGGAATGTATGTGGCATCCCTGTTCATCAAAAACATTTCAAGGAATCTCTGGAAAAGAGTTTTTTGATGTTCCCGCACATAAGCTTGTGAATTCAATCCAGTGCTGACAGAACAATAAATTATAGTAATATAAATAAACAAAAGCTGCTGTAAGCATTGAAGGCCAAATTGGAAGAGTGAAAGATTCTTTTAATACTGTCAAGACTTAGATTAGATATCCATTGCAACAAAATGATGAGAAACTTGCAGAACGTAAGCAGTTCTCCCTGGGACAAATCTTTACTGTCTTAATGTGAATATTGGGTATTCTGTTTACTACTGTAGAAAAGACCGGTTATGGAAGATTCCAGCTTTTGTAAGAACAGAGATCTTAACAGACATTATCCTGGATAAAAGTTGGAAAATGCCACCAAAATTGAAGATAGAAAATATTAATCATAAAATGTTATCAAATAAATGATACTGATTGATTTATTTGATAAAATGTTATCAAATAAATGATAAATGATATCAAATATAAATTCTGATTTTGTTTTTCATGGGGTAATGTAGATCATAACTTTAGAAGTCTGAAGTTATACAATTATTGTAGTTAATGCTAATCATTGCATCCTGATATTACAAAGATTTTGATGCATTCTTTTCTATACTGAAAGTTGTCATATTAACTTTGCAGAACATTGGAGGAAGATAATACAACAGGGGAAAGGGCAGAGGAGGAATGGAGTGTAGAACAGCATAATTGATTGTGTTTAAAGAAGGTTAAAAGTTTCTGTGATATTTTTCTATGTTAGGTTGCAAAAGTTAGAAGTCAGAAAAACAGAACCAGAAAAATGACTTTGCTAAGGAGTCTTCCATAAGCTGTGAAATGAAAGAAATTCTCAGAAAATCTGTGGCTTTTAGGTGATCTGTGTTACATTCCAAAGTCGTACACATTTTTGCTAAAGGGTGAAATTGCGGAGAAAGCCAGCAAAGATGCAGTCTGGTGACACAGGGAGCTTTTATAAAGACAAGTCAGCAGATAAATGCTAGGAAATCTGGCAGTTTGAGGATGGTAAACAAGACCTGACAGATGGTTAAAGGGGCAACAGGATGGGGAGCTGGCCTAGAAATTGCCTTACCCGAGAGAGAATTATGAAATAGCTTTAGCTGTGCTTTAGAAATGAGAGATTAAGTTTTATCTCATTTATTTATATTACTGCTATTTTTATCTTCTTCCTTCAATGTACATTGCTTGTTATTCCATTGTAATTGTGATCTTTTGTCAAACAAACAATTTCACTATTCACCAAATAGTTTTTTTTTTTTTTTTTAAGTTTCTTTTGTAGGGTGTTGAACTAAAATTTTATTAGTAGGAGACAAATGAGTTGCATTGTCTTAGTGATTCCCTTACATTTGAACCTATCATTCAAATTGCTAATAAAATAATATATGGCATAAGAGAAAATGCTTTCTCCCAACTCCCTTATTTTACTTCGTTCCACAGGTGGAATCAGTTTCTATTCTGAATATGACTTCTGAGGATAGCAATCACCAGATATGAAGACCCTAAAGCATTCTTACATCCATTAGTATTATCTAGAACATTTTATATTACTTCCAGAGACACATGAAAATACGAAGAGTCACGTCCAGTGTCAGAGTGAGATGAAACCAGTACAAAATCAGTATTCTCAAAACAGTCCAAATTGCAGTGTAACCAAGTTATGTATGTATCACAAGATAAATAAGTGTTTATTTTCTAGGCTGACAGCTGCTGTGAATATCCATACCAGAAGAGGGCAGCCCCACCAAGGCCTCCAATAGTGACATCAATCAGACCGTCATCATTTAAATCCATTTCTCCATGCACAGACTGGCCAAAAAATTTCACTTTCTCCCCATCTCCACCAGATGCAATACGCTGTGAAAAGCATTACGAGATTTATAAAGTGCAGGCTGATTAATTTCTTAGGAACATGCAACATGCATTTGTTGGCAGTTAGATGGCTTTTAAACTCTTTAAATCTATTAAATTTTCTTTACAGTACTCCTAAAAAGATCACAATGGTGAGAAATATGCTGTAAATATTCAGAATTACAAAATATCTACTTTTCTGGCTGCATAGAATATACTAGGAGGTTTCTAATAAAAACATGTAAATATATCTTCTAACAATATAGAGTCAAATTTGGTTAAATCAGACTGACTTTAAAAGTACTGAACATTTTAAAAAAGAAATTATCATGGCAAGTGAAGTCACAATTTGATTCTGTGTTGGAAAGACATGCGGAAATGAGAATTCTCCTACACAGACTTACAGAAGCTGCCAACCTGTAAAATTTTACTTCATACCTGTGTATATTTTTTACTGATTGTGTTGCCATGGCCATGATAAATATAAACAGCTCCCCGATGATCATCCTCTAAGGGAGATCCTATTACAATGTCATTATACCCATCAAGGTTGAGGTCCTTCACTGCAGCAATTGCAGTCCCAAAGCGTGCTCCACAGGGTTCATTCTTAAGAACTTTGCAGGTGTCATGTTTTAATGGTGAGCAGCATGTTTGTTTTATAGGTTCAAGACTCATCTGATACTCAAACTTCGTCTGTGAAAGGACAGATTTAAAGTTAGTGGATTTCCACAAACATTTTAGCGATGCGGATTTTAGAGAGCTCCTGTACAGAAGACAAACTGGTTAAATGAAACAATTACGTACTATTCATAATGACTGAGTGCACTGTAGAAACTGATTCTGTAACTATAACATTTTTAAGCAGGGGGTGTGAAAGACAATCTCACTCCCTCATTTCTGCATCTGCTTACGCTATATGTATGCTTATGCTTTAATTAGTTTTACAGGAAAGCACAGTGTCATAGAAGTATTTGGATGTTACTATAAGTGATTCACTTCATTCTCAACACAGTGAAAATATTTCTTTCAAAGACAGTCTTTTAATTTGAGAACGTAAGCCAAGCTTCATAGGAATCATAGACGGCAGTACTGTTATCTCTTACATAGTTTGAATTCTATCCTCAGCACAATCAAACTCCATGCCCACACACACATACTCTTCTGGCCAACAATGTCCAGTGTGCATGAATCCTAGACCAAAACCACACATACAGCATGATATGTAGCCAATCTTTCCAAGAGATTAGCCCTAAGAATTTAATGATTAGTAAAAAAAAAAAAAGGCCATTGCTATACCTCCTTTGTTTGAAGATGGATAAAAGTAACAACAGGAAAAAAATTTCAAACACTTGCAATTAGAAGACTCTGAATCCTTGTTTTCTAGCCAACGTTATTCACCATCAATCTGTTGTTGGCAGCACACATGTAGAAACTGGAAAAGCTATTTGTCAAATAGACCCAGTCTCTTCAGGCCCTTTTTCTGCCACTGTGTTTTAGGACACCATTACTTCTAGGACCTATTGTGATAACAATAGTTATCACAATTGTTGTAACAATATGCAGTAATGTTGGACTAAAAGAAGGGAAAAGAAGAAAAAAGATGTATATAGAAACTGGGAAGAAGGGACTTATCAAATGACTAAAATTATCTGAGGTACTCCTTAATCTAGCTATGACACACTAAAAAGTTGTTGAATGTATGGGATTTAGATCTAATTTGGGGAGTCACAAAAACATTGGAACAGATACTTTTAGGATGGATGAGCCCTACTTCTCCCTAGTGCATGACAACAGAAAGAAAATATGATATAAAAATTAACCTTGTAAATTTCTGTCTGTATCTTGTTGCAGTTTAGAGAGTAGTGTTTGTCTATGCAAAATACTCTACTAGAGTAAAAATGAAAAAGTTTGAGAAGTATTCAAAAATAATCAGTAGTACACTCTCTGTTCTTAACAACATGTTTCTCTGCCTTTCAACACATCATTCTTCCCAGCTCAAATTATAATATTTCATTAAAATAAGGATATGAAAACAGGAAGGAACACAATATGTTGGTCAACAAATATAATCCTTACCTTGTTCAGAGCATACACATACACTTTCCCTTGTTCCTCTTTTTCAGTTCCCATATATGTAGGAGCTCCAACAAGGAGAAGGTCTGTAAATGAGTCTCTGTTAATGTCAATTGTGGTGATAACACCCCCAAAGTATGAGCCAATCTGCAAGAACATAAAGGTATAAATCAGAGGTAGAGTCAGCAGCATCATGCAACAGTTCTGATTCCAAGATCTATTTTACAGCAGCTTACAACAATACCATATGTCACCATTATGAAGACATTTTCTTTGCTATCTAGAAGACCCTTTTGGTCAGTTTGCCTTAGAAGCTTGTTTTCTGTCCAAATTTGTACTTGCTAAAAGGACTGACACCTCTCAGTAGAGAGAGTTTGAATAGAATTGTCCTAGGGAAGCTAGTCACAACAGTAATAAATAGAAAGAGGACAACCAATGTTCTTAGGCTTGCCAAGGAAAAAAAGTGGGATTATAGAATGATTTGGATTGGAAGAGACCTTAAAGATCACACAGTTCCAACCTCTTGCTGTGGGCAGGAGTGCCACCCACCAGATCAGATTGTCCAGGACCCCATTCAACCTAGCTTTGAATGTCTCCTGAATGCAGCTTATCCCCTCCCAGTGTGTAACTTAAATCTCCTCTCTTTTAGTTTAAAACCATTCTCCTTTGTTCCACCTGTTTCCAAAGTGATATGTTCATAGTCTAGGCACAAGGTGTGGGCTGAATCTAACATTAATCTACAGCTAAGCTATATACCCTTTATTTCCTTTACACTCAACATGAAAAGTAGTCCTTTCTATGCTGGATATTGGCCTCAGATGGGCCATATCATTCAAACCTTAAAAACACTTGCTTTTCTTCGTTGACTCTAAAAGTCTCCAAGACTGATTAGCTGAGATGCAGATGTCAGCTACAGAAGATGAAAATCAGATTTGTCCTGATCAAAGATTGTACTGCAGCATAGAGAGACAAGAGTCGGCAGGTCTTTCAACTTGTTTAAGCATGACATTATACTACCTTCTCTAATTAAGTAGTTACATGTTATTTTTTTTCCTGAAGGAAAAGCTGCTATTCTATATAATGATAAACTATTCAATATTTCATGCTATATCAACTGATTCTCCCCCACAGAATGTTGCTTATCACAACTGTTTCTTGCCAATAACATCTTTTCCAGGCAGAGGATAAAAAATTGCCAGTCCAGAAATGGCTATAACCACTTTCACAGCAGCAAAGGTTTACCCCACATACAGTAGATTTCCAAGAGTCTATGACTGCTTTACTTCCTGCTACATAATAGACCAGAGCATTTACCTAAATTTGTTTCTGATCTTGTAATCTTTCTGATTATAACTCACAGTTCTATTTGGTTCTTCTGCAAGAGTTTTCTCATTTGAAATCATTCTTTCCATTTGTCGTGCTATATTCATCTCGTATGTTAATCAATCATGAATGCATACTTACTTGTTCTCCTTTTAACCTCTGAAGTACTTGCACTTCTCTTCCTTCCATTTTATAAATGATGACTTGACCAGTATGATTGTATCGTGGCTGTCCTGCTATGTACAGCACTCCTCCAGGTGTCAATGCTGAATTTACGGTATAGCCTATGAAGCAGAAAAGAATTCATGATGCAGTACACACAGAATGCATCTGAAATACTTGCTGTGATTCAGATGCTTTCTAATGCCTGGCTCTACAAACAAATGCTTACTCTTAATTGTACTAAAGAACAACACCAGAGTCAAATGAAGGTGTATTTGTCTACAGGCTCAGAGTCATGAGCATCACTGTGTCATCAAACTTGTTCACAGGCTGGTAAGTCTAAACTTCAGCAGAATTTTTATAATGTACAGTTTGCTATCCTTAGGGAGAGTAAGAGGATGATGGTACAAATGAAATAGAGTCATCATCATAGGATCATAGAATGGCTTGGGTTGAAAAGATTCTCTAGTTTCAACCCCCTGCTATGTGCAGGGTCGCCAATCACCAGACTAGGCTGCCCAGAGCCACATCCAACCTGGCCTTGAATGCCTCCAGGGATGGGGCATCCACAGCCTCCTTGGGCAACCTGTTCCACTGTGTCACCCCCTCTGAGTGAAAAACTTCCTCCTAGTATCTCCTGTGTATTAATTTAAAACTACTCTCCCTTGTCCTATTGATATCTACGTGTGTAAACATTGTTCCCCCTCCTGTTCATATGCTCTCTTCAAATACTGGTAGACCACAATGAGGTCTCCCCAAGAGCCTTCTCTTCTCCGAGCTAAACAAGCCCAGTTCCCTCAGCCTTTCTTCATAGGAGAGATTCTCCAGACTGTTGATCATCCCAGTAGCCCTCCTCTGGACCCATTCCACAAGCTCTGTACCTTTCCTGTGCTGGGGACCCCAGGCCTGGATGGGGACCTAGTTCATTTTTCTAGCAAAGAAAGATGGGGCCTCACAAGAGCTGAGCAGATGGGCACAATCACCTCCCTCTCCTGCTGGCCACCCCTTTTTAAATGCAACTGAGGATATAGTTGGCCTTCTGGCTGCAAGCGCACACTGTTGGCTCATGCCCAGCTTCTTGTCCACCAGGACCCCCACGTCCTCCTCTGCAGGGCTGCTCTCAAGGGGTTCTTCCATCAGTCCGTATTAATACCTGGGACTGCCCCGACCCAAGTACAGCACCTTGCACTTGGCCTCGTTGAACCTCATTAGGTTCACATGGGCTCACTTCTCCAGCCAGTCCAGGTCCTTCTGGATGGCTTCCCTTCCCTCCAATGTATCAACCACATCAATCAGCTTGGCATTGTCTGCAAACTTGCTGAGGGTGCACTGAATTCCATCGTTTGTGTCATTGATAAAGATGTTGAAGACTGACCACTGACAGACACAACTGTGAAAGGCCTCTAGCCAGACAAAGAACCGCTGATCACAATAGCTGGTTGAAAAGAACAGTTGTCATTGGCTGTCAAAATGATAGTGTCCTGGTGTGACACTGGTCAAAATGTTCCAGGAGCATTTTGAACCCATCTCTCTTTAGTATTCGTGACAGTTTAACAACTTGAGTGAAGAGTAATAAAATTTGTAGTTAATAAAAATTATAGTAAAATTGCAAGTACTCTGGTGAATAGGCCTGAATTGGAGATATTAAAAAAAGTTAATGGAAATCTGTAAATAAGGAAAAAATGTGTTTGGTGGAAAAGATTAAATGATTCTTTTGTTGACTTTTCACTAGTGAAAATGTGGATGAATATGAGAGAAGGTATGAGAGAGCCAGGAGGTATTGAAAGAAGAACCCAGTGGAGCACACAAGGCAACAGAGATGCCTTTTGGTATAAATGCCTAAAAGAAAAACAATAGCTTGCCAATATATAATACATTATTATAAGGAGGATGGTGGTAAGCTCTTCATATTGTCCACCAAGTGATAGAAAACTGCTTAATTTTAAGTAAAGAAGATTTAGATGGAAATTATGTAAAGCTTTTTATGAAGGCAGAGAAAAGCTTGAGAAGAGTGCAAGGGGAATTTTCGAGATCTCTGAACATATTAGAGATCTTTATTGGAGAAAAGTCCAGATATAATTAAGGTTACAAGTGTTCAGATTAACTTTTTATTGATTGCTTCTTAAAGAATAAAAAAAATCATACAATAGACATCTCTATAAATTATAAAACTTCCCAGACTTTTAGAATGTAAGATAATTCATTCTAATAGATAATACTTAGAATGTAAGATAAAAGTTACAATATGGGCTAATTTTCTTACCTAGATATGCTGCAAGGGGTTCAATTTTTTCTGAATGTCTGTCACGAAAAGTGTCATTACTTGGTATTGAAATATCACTGTCCTTCACCATGACCACTGTGCCATTCCAGTCATATGCACCAACTGCTCCAAGCATAACCCAGTCCTTGTGTAGAGCAAAACAAAAAGCTATTACCTATGTGAACCTTTTCTCATCACAGCGCTTAGCTGGGCAATGCTTTCTGTATGCGCATCAGATTTAGTCCTGCTTTTCTTAAAATACTGTGGCCTCCAAATTAGAGGATGTCTCACACTTTTTGATAAAAACACACACAATTAAAAAAAACATTGACCATTCAGGAAAAGTAACAGATTGAAATATATCTCCTGCAAGTTTAGCCCATAATGACACACAGGATAGAAAGATGAAAGAGATTTAGCAAAACTAGTCAGAAAGTACATCTAAATGCAGTCCAAAGATGAACTTTTAGAAAGATGAAATTTTCTCTGCTCTGCTGAACTTGTATTTAAAATGCACCTTTTGTCAAGGACACTGTTTGCTTTGCTGGAAGGTAGGAATGCCGTCTTCTTGATAAAAGAGACATCAGCTACCCTGAGTCCTTCAACACAAAAGAACTGAAAACCCACTACTGAAGTCAAGCTCTGACAGCAGTTCAGTTCTATGGTAACTTCAAACATGCACTCTACCAAATAGATAACCTTAGAAATCTTCTCAAGATGCTCTATGAGGATAATACCTGTATGTAAGGTGAAGTACAGCGTTTGAAGGATAATGTACAATCTCATAGCACACAGTGAAAATGGACGCAGAGTATTTCTGCAGTGAAGTATTTATGTTAAATCCTGATGAAGGTCTGTTATTCTTTGTTTTACCAGTGATACGCTGAGTTGTAAACAAAGCTGCATAGAAGGTTTTCCTATGGATGTCAGTTTGTCTGACTCAAGGTCTGCTCAGTTAAATTATTTTCCTTTTGTGCTCTTTTCAACTGTCACTACTTTTTCACATCTTTAAAGTGTAACTATTTCCAGTTTATTTGATCTCATGCTAAATTTCCATTTAATTTGTGTACATCAAGCATAGGAATTTTCTGATTTTCAAAAATAAATAACATTTGCAGGAAGTGATTTATTCTACTAACAAATATTCCCAGGGATTTTGACATCCCGTTTCCTAAGTATTTACCCTCTGAGAATTGAGGTATTCAATATATTAATAGAGCTAACAATGTGTTGTGTTATTAATAATTCAAACCACATCCATTACAGAAATAGTCATTACATATATATCTTCAGTTTAAAGTTCATCAATACAACATAATAACAATTTGTATATTAACATATATAGAGAACAGTTTTACAATTAACGTATTATAGAATATTTCCCTGGTAGAAAAATAGTATGGGAGCATCACATTCAGAATTAGTGTGAATAAGACACTTATTTTCTCCCATTGTTTAAAATTCTTCTTCATGTACATTGTGCAGAATACTGGTCTAAAGGAAATGTGGAAATATCCAACAGCAAATAAGGAGCAGGGCGGCAGAAAGAATTCTGAATGCTCATTCAAAATCTGTGATATTACCTACAAAAATCTACTTTGTAAACTAACTTCTCTTTTCAGACAGCTTTTTTACCTGGGAGTAATGAGCACTGAAACCAGCCTGTGACATCTCCATTTCAAATGATGCTGCTTGCTGATCAGTTGTTGCTATTAAACAAAAAAAGATGTGTAATGAAAATGCTTGCATGATAGTAAAGGACGATGTAATTAACAAGACTATTTTGTGAATATAACTTTCGACAGATTTTCACAATAAATACAGAAATTAAGATTTGTGTTACCATTAAGTGAAAGAAACCATTTCCATTTTAAGATCATGTCTCAGAACTTGTCCAAGTAATACTGCTGGGCTAAAACTGAGATTTGACCTCAGGCTGATGTTAAATATGTTTGGAATGTTTGATTAATATGGTTAAGCCATTTTCCACTTGAGCTAAGCGAACAATAAAACGCATCCATGTAACCCCAGCCTCATACTCAAGCAAGTAAAAATTTGTAGGCAGCTGGTAGAAGTTTAAATGAAAAACATTTGAACCTTTGTTAAAAACAAATTAGGAAAATCTCAACATTCCAAGATTCATAAATGTTAGGGAAGGGCTTGGGAACAATAATTCTTCCCAGAAATTCAAATGAAAATGTTTCTATTTCTCTTAAGTGACTGAATGAATAAGGTATCATGTGATTTAGTAGTACTGTCAATATCTTTTCAGGTAGTCACATACCACATACTAAACTGGCAGGCTTTCAGCAGGGTGCTTTGCTCTCAGGTACATAAGCATCACAAGTAAGGTAACTATATTCTGCATATTGATTCCTTCTTGAGAGCATAACGTGGTAACAGGTATCACAAAGGAACTAAGATCTATGTTCTGAGGCTTGTCCAAGAAGAACTGATAATTTGCTACCAATTGAGCACTGAGGCAAACCTCAAACAGGGTGAATGAGACTGAGGCATAGCCAGATACGGCTGCACAAATTTCAGGCATCAGGACTACTAAATAATACTGAACTTCTGCTACTCAGCAGCTAAACCACAAAGGCTGCTCACTCATGTATATCTTTGCTAATTGCTGGGATTTATGATTAGCTACAGTAAGCAGACGAACTCAAACACAAAATGTTCCACATACAAACATGGGCCAGTGTGTTTCACAAAATGTAGCTGCTTTGCTAAGTCTGAGAAAAAATTGGTTCTTTTTGAGTATAAAGATTTTAAGTTGCACATTTGCTGATAAATAATGTTTTTCAGTAACAGCATTAATCATGCAACAAAAGATGCTTGTTAATGAGCTGAGAAAGACATGACTCTCATAGCTTCAGGCAGAAGACAATGCTAGTACTGTCAGTATATGCACTTCTGAATTCTGCTTAGATAATGGCCTTTACTCTAACTTTCCATTGAGTTTCAAACTGCCAAGCATCTAATAAAGGATGTTTTGTGAAAAAACATTTGTGCCTGCCTACATATTGGATAAAACATAAATATGCTGTTAAAATGAGAAGTACACGCCATGAGACACAGAGACATATGAAAAAGATTATGTGTAAAAATCCACTGGCTGTCAAATGTGAGTTTTTGTTGGATTTCATTACTCAGCTCTCTCCGAATTTTCCTGTGCAGTATTTTTAATGACAAAGAAAACAAAACAAAACCAAGAAATCTACCAGAGGAAAAATATCAGATGTACTCCTATACTAGCAGAAGGCTATTTAGATTAAGACTTGAAGCACATTCAGATACAGAATTTCATGAATCCAGTTTCTTCTGACCTCCACATTACATACAGAAATCAGTTGAGCTACACTGTGTAGTCTTAACACAATGCACACATACAGTGAACTAAATTGTCCCAAGAAAGCTGTGAGGGACAGAAATAATCTGCTTTTCTTCCCATTCACCACAATGTATCCATGGACAGAGTTGCAAATCTAGAATAGTTCCAGCAATGCTTTGGGTAGAGCAGGAAGCCATGCCTAAACAATCAACAAAAAGGGGCTTATTGAAATTCTTAATGACTGAGTCTCATCATATTTTGTTATAAAGCTAAGATCTCATCTTACTTTCCACTCTAGTTTGCCTTGCAGACAGAGGAAGCAATTTCTGAGACTTCTGCAGGTGGAAGAGGGGATATAAATTGTTTCATTTCACAGGGGCCTCATGTAGAAATCTTGGAACAGACTGAAGTCCTAATGAAGATTTGCAAATCAAAGCGGCTTTTGGGTATGAAGTTATCTAGACCTCGTACAGGCTGAAAGAAATCAATTTTTAACCTTTTTTCTTGATGTTTGGATAACTTTTTTTGTAATACAGCCAAGTCTATCTGAAACAAAATTTGAAAATATGGCAAAAATATATCAAAGTACAAGAATACTAATAGTTCATAAGTTTATTTCAAATACAAAGTTGTAATATTCAAAAAGCAAATATTTGCCTCTGCATATTTTGCAGAAAATTAAAACTGAGTTCAAGGAATACTGCAGAACTTGCTGATACTTAGAAGAGGTATGCTGAAATATGCTGAAAATACCACATATTAAAGGAGTCCTATTAATTATACAAACAGGTAATATTTCTATTATTCAATCACATTGCTAGATTCCTCTTCATCTACCTAACTGCAACTGTACCATTAGAACACAAAACTTGTTTAAATGTTTGTCTTTTCTTTACCAATTTACTAATTTAATTTACTAATTACTAATGCCAGTGGAAGGGCTAGAGCCTGCTAAAGAAAGCATTCTCTCATCAACAGAAAGTCGAGGCCAGCACAGTTTCCTCTACTATTTGCATAGGCTGGGACTCCATGCGGTAGCTAGCATTACCTCATGACTACAGACTACTGAAAGGGACAAGGTGAAGCATAACAAAATTACACTGTCTCTTCTGGCTACATTTTGTTGTTCAGTGGGTTGTACTATAATGTGATCCTTGAATCTGAGTACTCAAAGTGTGCTGATGTCCAGAAATATCCTTTGTCCTGCCATGGACCAATAAAACAGTCTATTACATTTTCATTAAAATTACATTATATATAATAGGGGTGATTAACAGATTTCATTCTAATAATAAAATACAATGATTTTTCTTATGTCTCAAAAACTCATGGCTGTTTTCAACTTCTCTTTGAATAACTGTTTTGTAACTGAAAGTGTATTCTTCCTATAAAACATACACTTAACAAAAGAGCTTCTATTCCCTGAACTTTAAAGTACTGAGTAAGCTTCAGTAAGCTAAACTTGGGTTTTCAGAGAGTTGAATTAGTCTCAAGTAAAATTGGTTTATAAATGAGGAAATAAAATCCTTCAGAAAGGGAAAAAAATAAGAATATACAAAATGGGGAAAAAAAAATTAGTAGCAAACAACTGATGATAGAAACATTTAACTCACACTAAATGATACACTACAAACACTTATATGTCTAAGAAACATTAACGGAAATTTAAAGACCTTTAATATAATCTTTCATATTTATTTATTTATTTATTTTGACATTCAACTCAACATTATCTTTTGTTCCAGCCATAAACTACACAATTCTAGCTACTTGGAAAGCTGGAATGTTAAAAAAAAATAAGCCCAAACAGATGGATGTTGTCTTTGTATGACACTAAGCCCTTCAGAGTTGGTTAGTGTAATTTATAACTAATAAACTTCAGTCTTCTATTACCAGCACTGTACTTGAAACAGAGTTGGATGGTGTTGCCTAATTTGGATGGAGAATGTGAGGAGATATTAGGAGATAACTTTTCACTGTTAAAATCTGACAATCACAAGCATTTCCAAAAGAAAAAATATATCTTACCAACTCTCTATACAAAATTCACATTAACTTGTACAGCAAACTAATACTCTGTAGTTAATAACTAACCATAAAGAGAGTTTAAAGGCAAAGGCAGACAAACACATGATCATGGGGCAGTCTAGGACACACTCTTTTACATAAGAGAAGGCGAGTTCAAGTTCACCCAGGGGTAAAATGGTAATGGTTACTATAGTGACCCTTCTTACCCTTCTAGGCTACTGTCTCCATCTGCTCTAATCCATCTGAACATAATTCAAATTATTATCTATGTTTTTGATGTGTACTGTAAAATATCTTTATGATCAGCTGAAAAAATACTTGCATAACACATTTTATGCAGCATAATACACTGAAAAAGAAGATAAAAGCAAGTGGTCTTGTGTTTGCCTCAGCAGTAATGCAGGCATAAAGTAAAATTTTAAATAATGTCCTACCTTCAAGGGCAAATATTCTCTCTCCAAGGGCTTCAACAATAGTTACAAGAGCCAATTCATCTGAGACATTGAAGAAATGCTTTTCAGTAGGCTTACTGGCAATTGATTTTATTTCCTCTACAAATTTCTCAGTACTTAAATTTCCTCTGCTGTAGCTGCCAAGAATCTATAGAGGATTAAAAAAAGAGAACCAAGGTTATGTTTTAAATCCTATTTTTAAAAGATACCTTAGAGGAAGGTAGTCAGAAAATATTAGAAAATCATATCTAACCTTCATTGTTCTATTAAAACCTCCCTCGGATTTATAGCCTTCATTGAATAAAAGCCATTGTTTTGTAACTAGAACAGAACTGTATGAGAGCTCACTATTTTCTTTTTTTTTTCTGCAAGCACCAATAACAGCAAGCAAAGCAATTGTATGGTGTAATATGTATATTATCCTCAACTGCTGCTTTCATCCTTTCATCACCAAATTCCTACGATTTGTTGACATAGACCTTAATTTAGAAAACAACAAACAAACAAAAAACAACCCTGTCCCAGACAGAATATATAATTGTACTGACTTCTAAATATGTATCACCAGTTCTTCTCACAGCACAATATACAAACAATTAAGGACAATAAGGTTCATATTTATGAACAGGATAGTTAGTTTTTGTAACGTATAACTTTGCCTGTAAATACATCATGACATTACATTCAGTATGATGCTACAAGACTTCAGGTTTGGCTAATAGTTTCAAAATTGCTGCCGTAAAAATTCAGGATGCCTCAGAATAAAAAGACTAATTTTTCCAATTCTCTGACAAACACTTATTTTTTCTGGGGGGAAAAAAATAAATCTGTGCACTTTCTTGCTTTGAGAGGGAAACCCCAAACACATTTCAGTGTTCTAGCATTCCTGGACACTGAAGCAATTCAAATTCGGTTTTAGACAGTGATTTTAGCTAAAAATTACTGCATAATCAGCAAGGACATTTTTTTTCAGTGCTCTCTAGCTTTATAAATGCAACTATTGAAAATGCCACCTGTATGTAACTAATCTTCAGTTCTATGATTTTATTTAAAGACAATTACTTTCTTGAAAATGTTTGATCCCCTATTATGCCATTGTACGGTTACTCATGCAAGGAAAGTAAGCTTTTCGTCATCTGGTAACAATGCCACCAAGGGTCATTCTTTAAGGCATGAAGGGGAAATAAAAAATCTATACTTCATCAGTTTTGGTGCTTGAGATTATTTAGTCTGTTCTCAGAACCAGAGAGTATTAATATGACAGGTTGTTCTTACTAGGAGAAAAAAAGAGAGAGAGACAGGAACAGAGACAACCCAATGTATCTTAAAAGTTAATGAGAAAAAAAACAGATGATTCCAGCATAGAATATACAAATATAGCAGAGGTTACACCAAATCTATCATTAATTTTTCCATAACACTCTGTATGAGTTAGCTTTCATCATATTTAACCTCTCATTCAGCTACTGATATTGCTCAACATGAAATGACAACTTCAGTATTCCAGCACACAGTGCATCCATAACACACCTTTGCTCTTATTGTTTATTTCTAAGTGGATGACATGTTTATACAAACTGTTCAGAAGATTTGAACTAATCTTCTCTGTTCACTATTCCTTTTTTTTTTTTTTAAAAAAAAAAAAAGATTATATTTTATACTGCCTCTTAAACTCTTTCATTTATCTTCACAGAAAAAAAACAAAAAACAAATGAACAACAACAAGAAAAAACCAAACCAAATAAAAAAACCCACATACACAAAACCAACCAAAACTAAACCTTAACCTTGTCAGATAATTTTTTCTTTCATGCTTTAAGATCAGAAAAAAAAGGTAATTTTTTTTTTTGTAAATCTCCGAAATGATTATATTTCCATCAAGATTCTGTGACATAAGCATTTTAGACAGACATCTGAAAGGTGAAACACTTTTCAGACTCCTACTTTTATTCCCATTACTTTTCACTTACAGCAATTGCAAATCTCTGAATGTTTTCATCCTCACACTTATCAATCACTTTTTGTAATCTGTAGTTGTCGTGTGATTCCCCATCAGTCACAATAACCATTACTTTTTGTACTCCTCTTCGTGCACCATGAGCCTCAGTAAATGCCTCTTCCCTAAAGGAGGAATAAAGGGTTTGAAAAAGGCAAAGTCAACATCTTGCACACACATCATTTTGGTTAGTCAACCCTGATACAAAATACGTTACATTAAGTAGAACGTAGGAAAAAAGAAATAAAAATTAACCAGGAACAAATACAAACAAGACCAATTGGAATTTAGATGAGAGTTTACAGTCAGTGTTTCACAAGGATTCTTTCAACTGTGACAGAAGAAAAGCACAGTGTTGGATGGTGAATAATTATTTTCCTAACTGAATACACTGTCATCTTACAAACAGTTTTGGTAGCTTAAAAAAAAAAAACAAAACAACAAAACATGTCAATCAAAACCCCTCCTCCAAAATCCACATCTGAAAAAAGTCTATTTTCATACTAAAACAGCACTTTCAGAAGCCAGAAGTATTTCTTCAGTTACCAGCATGCATCTACAGCAAAACAGGATGTTGTAGACGTGGCAGAAGTAGGCTCCCAGTGAGTGACGGCAGGCGTGGGTGACTCAATGAGCACGGCAGATGGGGAAAGGAACACTGAGGGGGTGTTCATGCAGGCTGGGCATGACATGGTTCTGCACGGAACCATAAAAGTAAACGGTGGAATAGGGTTCTGGAGAAGATGGAAGCAAGGCTTCCTCTTTTTAGAAAAGTATCACCAATCTTAAAGACCGCCCACGCAAATAAAAGCTAAGATTCATCTCGGATGACAACCAAAAATGGAAGTTAGGAGGGACTGCAAGAGCTGAGGAAACTTTGTTGATACTTCCTGTACATACCAGCCTGTGAGGGTTTGTGGTGCACAGGGACTTTCTGAACCACATACACTTTCTCAGTATTTGCTAATTGATTCTGCGTGAGCTTGCTTGGGCTCCATGGAATTCCTACTTGTAACAAAGTATTCCTCAAATATTACTATGAAAAAGTAATAATGTTGTTGGGTTTAAGGCATAGCATCAACAAATCAGATACTTAAACAGTTAATCAGTAAGATGCTGCAGATTTAAACTAGAAGAATATTGGGAAGAGAGACATGCTATGTCATGGAATAAAGAAAAGTTGTTATGCTAGACGTAGGAGAAAAGGGAAAAAATATGGAAGGCTTAGCAGTACAGATCGTTGTTATACTTGTGTGTATGAATATAGTTCATTCTTGGGTAATCTGTGCTAAAGCCATCTCAGAGTCTGATCACACAGCACGTGCAGGACAGTCAGGGCATCAGGCCTGGCCAGCATGGAATCATATAAAGCAGGTCCTGCTTGACCAAACCAATCTCCTTCTATGACCAGGTGACCCATGGAGGGGGTTAAAGGAGATTCAGAGGAGGATCACAAGGATGATCAGAGGGCAGGAGCACCTCTTCAGTGAAGATAGGCTGAAGCAGCTGGAATTCTTCAGTCTTGAGAATAGGCTCCAGGAGACCTCATTGCAGTCTTTCATTGCTCAAAGCGAGTCTACAGGATAGACTGGGAGGGACTTTTTTTTTTTTTTTTTTTTTTTTAAGTCGGGGAGTGTAGTAGTAGGACAAGGTAGAATGGTTTTAAACCAAAACAGGACAAATTTTGATTAAATCTAAGGGAGTAATTCTTTACTATGAGAAAAATGAAGTGCTGGATGGAACAGGCTGCCCAGAGAAGCCTGGATGCCTCTACACTGGAAGTGTTCAAGGTGAGGCTTTGGGCTTTGGGCAACCTGATCTACAAAAAGGCACTCCTGTTGGTCTTTAAAGAACTCTCTAACCCAAACCATTCTAAGATTCTATGAGTTTTTATTTTCCCAGTGCTCTAGAAGATTTCAAGACTTCTGACATAAAATTTCTAGACTTGTTGACAAACGTGGATTTAAATCCCACAATAATCTTAACCTCAGAAGAAAGAAATTAATATTAAAATTTCAATTTTTTCCCCATTTCCTCTGAAAAACTTAATTTCATCTATCCCTCTGCATACACAGCTCCTACCTAACCTACATGTATACCCAAGTCCTTCAATTGCCTTCGCTTAGGACTACAAACATATTCCATGTGTTTTCTCTTTCCCATTTCCTTCATTCATGAAACAGCTGCCATTTCAGGGTGCTACATGTAACTGTCATTGAGGTTGGACAGGTTTTTTATCCAGCCTCACCTTAAATCTCATTTATCTAGCTAAATGAAGTCATCCTATTTTTGATATCTTTTAAACTTGTTCCTGTCATATTCAGGAAAATATTTAGTGAACTTACCTTGCTGTATCTATTCCAAGGGCTGTCATAGTTTGTGTGCCACCCCTCTGACGTATTCTCAGGGCTGCAGCCATCACTTCTTCTGTTGTTGAGTAGGTATTCAGGTAAAATTCATGGACTACAGTCTGCCCATACTGGACAATTCCAACCTGAAACACAACATTTATATTAAAAATCAACCACCATTAAAGAAAGTAGCTACATCTCTTGCAGTGAGGTAAATGCTCATCTGTACCTACAGCCAGGAGAAAAAAATGTACTCCATGTCTTTTCCCCAAGTATGAAGCACCTATAAGCATTTGAGAAATAGAAACTGGAAAACAGTTAACGTCAATGAAATCTTTTCAAGTTTCTAAGCTGTTTATTACAAATGGGAACAAAGTAAAATGCAAGCTCAACTCCTTGTTCTTCCTGACACAGGGTCATTTGAAATGCAGATCTGCTCACTTCTAGGACAAGGCACTCAACGCCCTAACAAGCAGTCACAAGTTTTCAAATGGATTTCCTTAAAGAATATGAGACTGTACTTCACATACAACTCCTAATTCTGTCCAAACATAAAGCTCTATAAATCAACAGACTATTTACTCTACACACAGCCTAGAAACAACACTCTGTTGATAAACTTAGGTCATTGGGGTTGAGAGGAAGACCTAAGCAACCATATCTTTATAAAGACAAAAGAGCATAACCATTATCACAAGAGGAGGTAAGCCAAAGTAATATCCCTGACAAGTGTCAGAGGAAAAAATACAAAATGGCTGCTCCTGGAATAAGGGAGTGATGAAAAGACTCAAAAAAAATGCAACCACCCTGGACTGAAAACAAACACAAATGCTTGAGGGAACCTGCTGCAAAAACAAACTGTAAAATGAAAAGAAGATAAGCAATATCCTTAAATACTAATTAATTTCCCTCATTCATTTCTGTCACTTTTAATGTTTTGGCAGGTACTTGACAGCTTTTACTGGGAAGAATCCACACAGTGTTCCATTAGCATATTTCAATTTTATGTTACATATGGCAATTTATAGGTATTATTTAGGATAATGCAGTATTACATGGCACATTTATGTCTCACTCATCTATTTTTAAAACCACTCTAGCATGTAGATACTAAGCATCACATTATTTTAGAGGTGGCTTAGTACGTTCTTTGCAATTGCTTTGCAAGTGTTTCCTGGGGTACTTTCATAGCCTCTCAGACCATGCACAATGTTTGATTGCTGACATTCACTGCTTGTATTTAAACAAAAAGGGAGACTTGCAGTAGAAGAATAGATTTTGTCGAATTTTTGGTACTAGTCTTTGATGTCATGAACATTATGAAACACTATCTAAATAAAATTACAAAAGTATAATGCAAAATCTATCCCACCTGAGTCATTTTAACCTTTATTCTCTAAGATTTTCTCTAACCGTTTTTTGGCATCTGTCTGTGAAAGCAACACTGAGACAACATGCTATAATTGTTTCTGTTCTGTAGATAATACTATATTCATGACTGAATTTTTTTTCTTCTTTTTGTTTTGTTTTGTTTTTGTGGTAGCAGTCAACAAACTATTTCTAATAATTATTTTATTTTGCTAATGATTATTAGCAAGTCATTAGTCTCCTTCGTATAACCTAATCTGAAAAGGATGCTGTTGATCATTTAGAACGATTACTATTGACTGATGAAAAACAACAGGTTTTCATCATGCTTGGCCTTTTGGATCAGGAGGAAAGCCTCAATTATTTCAGTACCATGCACAAGAAACGCAGCAAGAGATTTCTGTTTGTCAGTGAGACTGCTTTTGTGGATTCAGACTCCTTCACTGAAGATTTTATTGACATCAAGGGTTAAACTGATCACTGACTTCTGCCAAGATCAGGATAATAAGTATCTGCCCATCTTTCACTGTTCGAGAGACTCATGCTGATGTTGTCTTTTTCCTAAAAAAGACACTGACTTGTATCATTTCCTACTTGAGAGGAAGCACTGTACATGATCACAGCAAGTAAACATTTTGAGCATTTCCTTCTCAGGAAGTGAATAGGAAGAACATCTGAGTCTGGAGAACTGTGCTGTGTTGTATAGCTTGTAAATCAGGAAGGAAAAGGGGCATGTGGTTATCTTGTGGGATACAATTGTTCTGTGAGACCCTTCCTTAGCAGTAGTGTTGAAAACACTAGTCATCACGTTCTACGTCTTTCATGGCATCAGTGATGAGCCACACCTCACAAAAGGTAACATAACTTCTCAGAATAGACAAAACAGTTCTAGGCTGCATGTCCAGGTCTCCTGCAGAATCATGAATTAAAGTTCAAGTTTTAAAATTAGAATTTTATGATATGAGATGGTGATGAAGGTTTGAATCTAACAGAAAACCATTAATGAAATACCAGCGCAGTGCAAATATACCATTATATGATAATAAACATCTTCAAACTGCATAACTTCAGCAACCCTAATTTAAATGAACTAATTAATTTAAATCTAGAAAACACAGTGGAGTTATGCTGATAACCATGAATTCTGCTCCACTTCAGAAAAAACTACATTTTTCCCAACATTATTGACTGTAATCTACTGAACATCTTTTTAGTTCTTAAATCTAAGCTCAGTACCCTAGCATACCACAGATCTTATATTATACAAGGGAATAATTCTTTAATTGTCTCCAGTTCCTATGAAAAAGCCGTTGCAACAGAGAACATTGCAAATGAAAAGGCTATTCTACTTTGGAACAAAACATTCTAAATGACAATAACTTCCCGTTGTTCCTTCTGTTAGTGAAAGCAGACTCTTTTTTGGAGAGCATATTCTGGCTTTCCTAATCAATTACTAAACCATGTTGTACATGGAAATTACGTGATGGGATTCACATCACAGGGGTGTGGGAAGTACAGCCAAACCCAGCTACAATTTGTTTGGTCTACCATGCTCAAAAAGAGTCACACACAAATTACCTTTAAGCCACTAAAGGTGCCTTTCTCCGTTCTATTTTTATTTTTTTTAAAACTTCTTTAAAACAGTTCTGTTCTTCTGGATATAAGATATGACACGACATGATTTATTAGTCCACTGATACAATCCTTAGGGACATAATAAGGATCAGGCCAAATACCTATGGCTCTCTTGTGTTAATGGAGAATAAAAAACATGTTTTAAAATTTCTGAGTGCCATTACAGTAGAGCTATGAAGTTAGAATTAAGCATATTGAAGTATTTTTAAAATATCCTTCTATGAGAAGGCTGTTCATATACAAAGGATTGAAAAAGTGCATTCTCATATTAAAAAAAAGTTGTCTCCATAGAATTTAAAAGAGAAAAAGAAAAAAGTTATTTCTTTGCAGTTGTATTAAAAAGTGAAATAAAGCAGAAAGAAATATTTTTGTCTTCACATTATTGTTCTCATTTAATCCATATTCCATTTCCTCTTCTCTGTTGTCATGTTCTCTTTCCAACTTCTATTCCTAGGCTTGGGATATGTACCTTAACTATCAATAAGGCATTATTTTTCAGAGAAGGGAAAACAGGAAAGGAAAGAAGCATTTCTGAAAAATATTATACTAAATTTGTCTTTTTGCATCTGAATCTTCTAGCTTTCACTTTCAAATATGCCAAATGGGATACTGAGGAATTTCTGTTCTGACTTACCACAACCCTAATGGCTATTGTTCATGCACAGGGTAAATGAGAGTGGAAAATAATTCTTCTAAGTCGGTAATCAAAACATAGTTTTGAACAAGTCACACCCAAGCTAAGAAGCTATTCTGTAATCATTTCATTCCTTTCCTGAATGAGAAGAAAACAATTTGAAGCCAGTGAAAGTACACTGGATTTCAATGAGCTCAAAAATCCTAAGAAAACGAACACAGGAAAAAATGGTTAAAACAGAGAAAGTAAACAACTGCTCATTTATTTCTATTTTGTTTCTAGATGAAGGAGAAGAAACCAGCCTGCTCTGCTCTTTCTCCTCTTTCCTATTCAACAGTAGTTTAAATGCAACCTGTGAGAAAGGAGAAAGCATGGGTGGAAGAAGCAGAATAAACTTCCTACTGCCTGTGGCTATGAGTGCGTTCTTAGATAGGGAGGAGGGGGGAAAGGAGAGGGCTAGCTAGGATAAAATTCTTAGGAGGAAGGGACAGGAAAGGTAACGAGTTCTCCCAAAAATCCTTAAATATTTGCCTTCCATTTCCATTTTTCCAATCTTTCTCTTCCTTTTCCCATTCTTATCTACCCCTCAAATGTTTCAGCTCTTTAGTAACCAGACGCCAAGGCTGACGCTCTTGAGTAAATAAGCATACATGTGAGAAGAAAGGGTAGCTATGCCAAAACTTGGAAAGAATGTATTTTGCAGGTGGAGATAGCTGACTGCCGGAATGTGAGCAGGAGATCAGCAAGAAGACCTTTTGTGCAGGACAAAGCAGGAATCCAAAATCAAGTAAAAGAGGTGTGGCAATGTAAAAAAATTCAGAATCTCAGAGTGAGGAATAGGGGGAGGGTGCAGTATCATTCATTGCCCTACATACTCTTCCCATGAAGCCCTTTGGGCACAAGAAGTAATGACTTTCATGCAGCCATTGATCTTTAAGTATTTTCCCAAGATACTATGTGTACTTGAGCAATCACCACTTTAAGGACCAAGAGCACTTTTTTTTTTTTCCTTCTGTTACATCTGACAGTGTTTTTCCCTCTTCCTCACACTATCTAGGAAAGTGGCATGTATAAAATAAGAGGACACAGTTGTGAAGGTGACAGTTTATACATAACAATTTACCAGCTTGCATTCAGCACAGCCAATAGGGGACTTGGATGTTAACCCTATTAACTTGGAAAATGACGGAGATATTCTTTGTGGACAGTTGTATCCTTTACATCTGCAGGAGCTAATGAGAAGTAGCAAAAAGATTTTTGGCCTATAGCACATCAAATAACATAAAGGATCATAAAAAATCCTTTACTTTGGGAGGAGAGAGAGGGTCAAGTGACAGGAGGTTCTTGTCAAACAAACTTTCTATGTTAAAATGTTGGCCCCTTCCTCATTTTATGGTCAAATTGCTGTTTGCATACTCTATTGAAAACTCTGTGAAACATATCACGCCCTGAACTGTGATAATTGGTTGTAGCTTCTGATGAAACTGCTCTGATTTACTGCAGCAGGGAATTTGGGCCTTTTTAGGAGGAAAAGAAGTTTCTGCCATTAAAGAAATGCAGCTTTAAAGCCATTTGCTATTGTCATTTCAAATTTATATGCTTGGTGCTCCACAGAACAAAATTTTGAACACCGCTCCAGAAATCTTACAATCAAGAGTCTGAACTACGAATGTCTGTCTTAGAGGAGCAGTAATGTCCTTTGTGCTATAAAGACAAGAAGCAACTGTGAAAAGGAAGGGAGCAGGAAAGGACAAAGCTCAGACTGCCTTACTTAAGACACTTAACTTCTGCCACTCAGTTAGAAAATTGGTCTCTTCAAGCAGACTTAATAGCTGGAGAAGAGAGAGCCTCCCTGACATCACCACTCAGCAGCATAGACAGACTCAGTAGTAGTTTTCAGCTGCTTTGTTCTTGCACTCTATTACAGTATGGTGTTATAATTACAAAGATTTCCATAGACAGTGCTCTTATTTAATTTCCTGTGATTTTTTTCTTTGCCCTGCAAGTTAAACAACAATAAAATGTCTATTACTTTACCTGTGTTTGCTGAGGACCTATATCCATGTTTCTCAGAAGACTGTTAAGGAAGGCTGTGACACTCTCCCATGGATAAATGCTATTGGACCCATCAAGGACTATGACGATGTCCAACTGGGTTTTACACTCTGCAACACAGATGGCCACGTAGTAACTGATTTAAATAAGGTTCAAATATATAATTGCAGCTAACTATTATGATTATAATAATTACTTTTATGATGTACTAATAAACATATATCCCTCTATAACGGGTCTGAGCTGACGTGCTTGATGCAAATTGTCATTCAACAACTTTTCTATGGTAGTTTATGTGGTTTGGTATTCCTTTGAACAGCAAACCACTCACTTGCAAACTGATGTTTAAGAATGGGATTAGATCACATAACTGGAATATTTACTGGTGAGCATGCCTTATTAAATACCAATTCCTCTCTGATATTCCAAGGTACCAGGCCTTTAAGATTTTTATATTACTAAATTGGGTTTGAATTAAGTTTTAACAACATGCTGTCATTGTTTAACAAGAGCCTTTTGGCCTTAAGTAAAAAACATAAGCAACTATTTTTAGCAATTGTGTTTGGATGTTACATAGCCCTCTAATAATTGTTTATATGAAGATAAACTCCAAAATTAGAAAGAATTTAGGTTATATACTGGCAATGAAAACATTTACTTAACTTGGTAATGCTACTAGCTAAGGAAAGGAGTTTGTACTTTTTGGTATGCCTGTGTGTATACATTCATCTTGTTTGGCACTTTGTATTTTCAGACACACAAGAGAATTCCTGTGGCATGCATACCTTGTACAGATGGAGCAATTGCTTTCACAGTTTCAAAAGTGGAGCTGACATTGGAGCAGACTCCAGTTGTGTAATGCAAACGCCCACATTTATAAGCATAGAGCGGTCCACATGCCTTTAAAAGATGAAAAAGGGTGAAATATTTGGTATGGTACCTAAGGAAAACACAGACTTCTCTCGAAATTGGCAAAAAGTTCTTCCTTACCAGAAAGCCTCCTTTCGGGTTAGTGACTAAGGTTGTTCCAAGAGTCATGTTTTCTTTTACTTCCATGACGTTAGGCACTGAAGTAGCATCTATAAATAGATTAAAATGTTAAGTATTTGAGAATGTGGAAACAAAATGTTAAAGTATATATCTGCTACCATAGGGCTTCCAGCTTCTAAAATAAAACACAGAATGACACTGATTCTATCAAATATTTTAGCACCCCTTCATCCTCCTCTTTCAGTTCCAATGAACAAGAAAAAAAATTGAGACTGGCTTTTATCCCAGAAAATTTGTCTGCGTTGCTGTCTCAAATAGTTTTCTTTAACTACAAAAATAATAAAGTAAAAATAACAGCACTATAAAAGCAAAACATTATTGTTCACACAGTTTTGTCAAATAGAACACATTCTTTTTTTTTTTTTCCTTGTCTTGCTATACATGAATTATAGCTTCTATGTTTGCAACTTTTTGATTTTTTTTTACATTACTGACATTAAGATTTTCAAGGGAAAAGAATGAAAAAAATAGGGTGACTGGCATATTTAGGAGAATTCATATCAAGGGGAAACCTCTTTCTGTCTGCAGTGAGTATCTCTTGACACTAGACAAAGAAACAGATGAATATTTACCTGCACCTTATTTAGGTACTTCAGTTTGGCTCTTGGTAGTTATGTGATTATCAAAATCTTACTGAATAGGCAATAGGAAGGCTCTCATTGGCTCCAGGGAGCTTTGGAAAGGGTGGCCTATGAATCTATGATCCTTGGTCTTTCTGCCAGAATTTCCAAACCACAGTCAATCAGTGCCAGTCATAACAATATTTGGATAACACAGCCAATGCCCATTCTACAAGTACAAGCATGTTTTCCAAAGGGCAATGAGGAGCTTTAAAATAAAAATGTTTTTGACATTACAAACAGAACTTCCTTCACATTTACTTCTGAAGTCAGAAGTAAATTTTCTCAATAGAAATAACTTTAACACTTATTTCTTAAATAAAAATCTCTTAAAATTCAAACCTCCACATATCAGCTTCATTTGTTTTCATACCTGGTAAATTCAGCTTTATGCAGGGGGATTGGTTGTCCCTTCCTACAGGGCACTTGTACACATCTCCTGTTCTTTTCTCAGGTTGGCCAACTAATGGAGAACCAATAAGTACCCTGCAAATTAAATATGTTATCTGAAATTTCGTCTTCCACTAAATGCATGAGAATTGGCAAATAAAATTTACAGACAGAACATACCTGCAGCAAGCTCTTCACAAAGAATGTAGAATGGAAAATAAGAAAAGTGTCTAATATTGCTCATTCAGACACATTAAATGAAGCTCTTCTGTTTCTTCTTTAAAAAGGAACATGGAAAGGAAATATTCCTATATACCAAATATATATTTAAATAGTATCAGTGGGTGGATTTTCGAAAAACACTGTGAGCAGTATGGAAGGAAAAATATGTTTTATTTGTGTCATTCTTGATTGTTAATATATTTTAGGAGAAAAATTTCAAATGTCACTGCTGAGCAGGGATCGAATTCAAAAGGGGAGGCTCTCAAACACCAAGCAGAATGTGAGTCAGCAGTTCAAAATACATTATAGATGGCTTTTATTCTATGCAATTAAAAAAAAAAAAAATTATATGATCAAAAATCTCTATTCTTGCATAATATTTTGTAAGCACTAAAAATTAACATTCACTCCTAGATTCAGTGTTTCAGCAGAAAATGCTTTTTAGAGATGGCTGCTGTTTTTGTTCTCACATCTTTGTCAGCCTCGCTACCCGGTGAATGGCTGACTCCATTAAGTGGAAGGAAGAATTCAAGTTAAAATGGAATCATAGCACATGATGGAAACAGAAACCCTGCCATTAAGAGTAATAGTTATGTAAGATTTGCTCCTGGACACTTAGGTGATTATGAATAGTTACTGTGAGAACTAATTTTGCCTTTGATCATAGATTAATGATTCCAGGCAGAAGATATATGAACCAACTACAGAATACAGGTAAGATGTTGTCTAAGGATTTTAAAAAGAAGCTGAAAGGAGAATTTAAACCCAGTACACCATCCAGCTTCCAAATGAATATACTGAAAGAGCTTATTGTGATCCAGTACGATTTTTTAATATTTTAAAGCAAATCAAATGGTCTGAGCACATATTATATCTGACTGATCTTTCAAGCTGAAAAAAGAACATCACAGCATACACCAAAACTTAGAAGCATGCACAACAACCTCTAGTGCATCTCTGACTTCCATTTAACTGCAGAAAAGCTGAGTACGCTTGACATCGCACAAGAGGTGATCAATCTCAGTAGGACTATGACCACATATTGTGCTTTTTTTCAGAAAAAAAAAAAAAAAAAGAAGAGTCTTGTGAATTAAGTGGTTTGAAAAGCCACTTTATCTGTTGGCCCAGTGGACTACTTTTTCTTTGAGAAACAAGTGCAAGCTGGTTTTAAGAACACGTGTTTCCGTTGAAAAACTCTACCTGGGATATTTAGGTAGAGTTATAGCACTTGACAAAGCACCACAAAAGCTTTTTATATTTAAACTAACAGCCTGCAGCTTTCTTGCTCAGTATGTTGTTACACTGCAGGAAGCTGAAAGCTTGAAAACTTAACAGCAACTTGGGAGTTTAATGTTCACAGATGTTGACACTCATTGGCTTAGACTGTGGTCTTCCTTCAGCCAATGGGAGAGTAGTAACTTCTGGTTCATATAGTTTTTGCATGTATAAGGTTTCAGGACAGTCATCGGCAATGTTACTGTACAAAATACCTGCTCCTAGAATGGACGCCATTTCCTAGAAGTCTAAATTAGCTCAAAAAAGGTCATTATTTATCTTTCTTTCATTATCTGAATGCAGATTGGTATTTAAACATCCTGCAACAAAGACAGCCAAGACCTAGCACTTTCAAAAGCAGGCTTTGCGATTTCATTTCAGTGAGCACTTCCCATGCTGTGCAGACTCAGACACCGAGCGGGCCTGGTGCCTGAAGAAAGGATCCACTGAGGCACCGCGGAGCAGCGTGGCTGTCAAGCAGCCACATGTCCTTCATCCCAGGCTGCCAGCAGGAGTCCCTGGGGTTTATCAAGAATGTCAGATTGCTGGCAAAGCTTGTGGAAAAAGAGAGAAATCAGCTAACAACGATGCAGACCTCAGGGTTCCCAAACCTTTCACCATTCAATTGCTATTTCAGTCCTCCAACCCCATGATTTGCTTGTGATGTTAGTTCTTACGAGGTGAGAGCATAAACTACTTATCAAAAGACTGACAAGTAATGATAATGGTAAGCACACCAAAATCAAATTTATAATTCAGGAGAATTATAAAAGGAAACGGCAGGTGAAGAAGGCAGCGCCAAGTCCCAGATGACAATATATTACCAACTGAGAGATACAATTAGGCCTCCAAAAGAGAAGCTAGGAATTGTATTACTAAGCGTTTTGACAGAGAAACCTTCTCACCACAGACACCAGAAACTCAGCTCAGATAATGACTGACAGAACACTTCAGGAAAAGATATGTAAAACAGGTTAGGTGCAGCAGGAGCAATTTCACTCATGATACGTTAATATTGGAAAAGATGAACAATTATTTGGTAATACGGAGAATGGTAAATGGAGAAAAGAGGGCTCGGGCAGAACATAAAGCTCAGCTCTAGCATGGAGAGAATTTACCCAATTTATGAACTCATTTCTGTCTTTGAGGAAATCACGAAAATATAAATTTTGACTTTGATTTTTTTCACCCAAACTTTGCATGCGTCTCTATGGCGGTTCATCAGTTTAAGAAATCTGATGAAGACTGACAGAAAGCGATCCTGCTTAAATATTGGGCATATTTAGAAACACAGTATAGAACTTTAGTCACTGAATATCTGATAATTCGGAGTTTAAACTTAAGAAAAAAATCAACTTACCATTTTCCTTCCTCATTTTCATACTGTTGAACAGTGTACCCAAACATGTCTTCAAGAGACCCACTGAAAGTCATTGCATTTTTCACATCAACATTGGATGCACCAATGAGGTGAATGAAAGCTAAAAAAAAAAAAAAAAAAAAAAAAGTAGCAATATGCATGAAAACCAAGACTTTTAGATAACAAGGTTCAGTTACTGAGGGTAAATGACAAGGGTTGAAAACGGCATTTTAAGCATGCTTACCATAGCTAGCAAGAGACTTAAAATGTACTTTCTCAGACATACATACACAGCTATATTTAGAGATGGACTTCTGCAGCCAAAACCTATATGTTATTTTGAAAAGTCAAAATTACTGAATTACTAGTCAACATTCCCACACATACACAAAAATAAGGTTTTTTCACTTTTCTATGTTCTGAAATTCTAGCAGTAATTTCTTCTACCCTTGCTATGCTAAAGTCAATTTTAAATCATTGATTCATCTGCAGAGTGGTGCCTTTAATACAGAAGAACCAAAACTTAGTCAAATTTATAAAGCATTAAGATTAGTTGAACAAAACAGTTATATAGAACTTTTATCTGAAATAAGCATTTTATGATCATTTGCTGAAATTTAACAGTTAATTAAAAAATCAAAATTCATAATGTTTGCTGCCTGTCAAACCATTCAAATAATGACCAGTTACTAAAATACTTCTGTTACTCATTACTGAGATGATGATGTTCTCATAGAAAGCTTGTTACTATAATTAAGTTTCCAAATGGTCAATACTAATCTGTCTCTCTCAGCATTTTATTTCCTGCTTACTGCAGTAAAATATCACAAAAAGACTATTTATCACATAGTAGGTATTTCCAGTTTCACTGAACAGCAGAAAAAGGAAAAGTTTGTGTTATTTCATCTTTATTTCCTCCAGTCAGAGTCAGGAAATACAAAATAGGGAACATACTAAAGCAAATCTTAGTTTTATTCTTCTGAAAAGATTAATTATAAGCAATAGGGAAAAAAAATAATGGGTGACAGTATGATGGGAAAAAATTTGCAAGAAAAGTAATTCATGCATCTTCTGCCTTTACTAATTGTTTAAGTATAATTTTTAAAAATGTTGCTATTTCTCTTTATGTGCAAAGGATATTTTTCTCCCTCTCTCTTGGTAATCAAAACGTAACTAAATCAATAAAATATCCCTTAAAAAAAGTAGTGAATTGTCATTGTCTTAAATGTTTTTAATAGCATTTTGAGAATAAATAATTGCTATTATTTTTTGACGTAATGAGTACGATGAGAACATCATAACATAGATTCCCAATTTATCTCTTACACAATTGAACAGTTCCAATGAGATTGCCTATGCAATGTCTATCACACAACATTCACTTCATTCATTGTTTCTTCACAACAATATAGCTCAGAAAGCTATTGAGATTTTTACAGCGTATTCATTATACACTTGGTCCCTGAAGTTTTCAGAATCTGAGATGTGATCCACTCAAACATTTTTAATTTTAAAGAATATATATTCTTTTCTAGATTCCAATATAACGAATCCTGAAAATGTGAAATGCTAAACAACAAAGTTGACATTTTCTTTTTGTCTTCTATCATTTGCTACTACCTCCCCAAAGCCTCCTAATTCTGAGAGAGGTCAATTCAGAACCACAAATAATAATAGCTTGTAAGAAGTAGAGTTAGAAAAATTAGAAGTTGCTAGGAGGGGTTAGACTGATCAGAAGTAAAAACGAGGACACACCACAGAGCAGGGAACGGGCCTGTAGATCTTGTTGACAAACTATGTTTTGTATGCTAAATAGCATATATTCAATGGATAACTAGGTTAATAAAACATAAAACCATAATTTACAAACCATATAGGAGGTGCAGCTGATTCAGAAAATGTAGATTAAAAGAGTGGAAGACCACACAGGAGGAGCAGCTATATTTTCTCTGTGTATCAACTTCCATTTACTCTTGAAGATCAAATGCTATATAAAGACTTGATTTGATCCAGTAAGGCTTTCATTTTCCCCAACTTCCACCTTCAGTTTAGCTAGAAATCAGATGTTCAGAAGTTTGATTTTATGATACATTGTCTGGGCTATTTTACTATGCAAACACACAACACAACCTCCTGTGGCTTCCATGTTGATCACAATATATCATGATCGTACTGAATAAATGTAAAAGCGTGCAGATGGCAAACTGAAAAGCGGAGTTAGCAGTGATCAGTGTTACACTGCCAACTAAGAAAACTAAGAACAACTTCACTTTAATGGTTTTCAAGTTTTCTTTCATTTCTTTCAGTATGTTATAAAAAATTGGCAATTCACAGTTCAGTAAAAAACTGAAATTGAGACTGTGAAAATGATGCTTTATAAGCACTATATAAGCAAGTATACATATAACAGTATTCAGCTTGTATTCTTCCAGATTCGCAGTTTCTCTCTAAGTTGTATGCATTCTCACCTGGTTCAAGGAAACCGATGCTGGAAAAGTAAAAAGAGTACTGGCAGAAGCCAGTGAAAAAACAAAAACTACAGTGATGTTGGAGAGAATCTTGAAAGCTACATGGAATAATAAGAAAAAAAAAAAACAACAACAAAACTTGCACTTTTTTGAGGCATACGGTGCTTGGCTACATACATAGTCACAATCACTGTAGGTAAATTAAGATTTTGAATGATTCTGTGATGTGTTAACAGAATGACTAAGAAGGTAGGTCAAAGTACAGATCAGGGACGCATAATATAAATGTTTATCAAAGGATAAAACTGAAGTTTAAGCTTCTATGTTCTCATTTTATAATAAATGAGAAACTGCTGAAGAACTGGGACAAGGACCCTCTCACTGCTGATTTGAAGAGTACAAAAACTTGCTAGTGCACATGGTATTCATAGTTGAGTACAGTCTGTACCTATGCATGAAAGGTTAACACTCAGTCACCAAGACAACAAACCAAATATTATTGTAATAAAGTACTGCAAACCTAGAGTAGTAGCTCATACTTGTCCAGTAGCCACTAATAAGATTTTTCCTTCCTTCTGTTATACTTAACAGAAGTTTTAACCAGACTTTCATGCTGTCTGCCTGATTGTTGTGTTAAACTAGACAAAAATGCTTAAAATAGATTTTCCTGGTACTTGTCTGTGTGCTTATTGTCTGGATCTCTAGCCTCTGCAGACAAAGAATTGCAGAAGAGGCACCCACATTTTCTCAGAATAGTTGAAAGTAAACATAACCAGAATGGCAGCACAAACTTTGACACCTGGCTCTTGACTGCTGAAAAAAAACATCACCTCAAATCACTCACAATAAATGACACCATGGAAAGTAACTGAACTGAGAGAAGAGAGCATCTTCAGTTTGGATATTTTGTCTCTGTATGGTCTGTAGCTAATAACAATTGCACCCTCTATAATCAGAGGTTATTCTTGGAAAGGACAAGTTTGTACATTACATTCAGCAGAGCTTACCATGTTGGCTGCACACCACTTCTCTACATCAGAATTTCGTCAGAATCACCCAGGAAGTCAAACACTTTGTGCTACAGCATTTTAAAAGCCCTTATTAATTCCTCTGTAATTTGCTAGGAGAGATTTAAATAAAGCAAGTCTGAATGCAGCCATGAAAGAAAAAGCAGAAATGTCTTATGAAAGTATGCACAACTAGAAAATAGTGGGAAAGTCCAAAAAAGGAAAGCCTGTAGGAGAAGAACAGTCTGCGTCCTTCCTTGGCAGTAAAAGAGAAGCTTAAAATGAAAAATTAAAATAACACTAAAATATTTTATAGACTTAGGAAAAAAAAAAATAAAAGTATAAAATAAAACCCAGAAAAAAAGAAAATACTGCTTTGGTGTCTTGTAGTGATATTAAAACGGTATTTTAAATGATCTGTATGCAATATAAGAGTGCAATGTGGAACAGTGTGTTTGATAAAATTGTAATGAAACCTAAGTGACATTAGGAAGGATGACCAAGCTTCTAAAGCTAGGATGCATGACAATTAGTCAGGGGAGCAGGATTGGGAATATTGCCTTGGACTCCCACAAAAGCATAACATGAAAACAACAGAAAATAATATCATTCTTCACAATTAGACTGCCTCTGACTGGTAGAAAGGGAAGATTAAACATGCATTTGCTTGCAAACATTAAAAAAAAGTGGTATTTGTAACATGACGTCTAGCATACAAAAGTAGATTATTTACAGGTGCACTGAAGGGGAGAATCTTCATTTTACCTTTTACTTTACGTGTAATAATGTCACTGCAGCACTATACACAAATTATGAAATAGAGAGTCAGTTACTGAGATCCCAATTGGAAGAAAACATGCTTGTGTGGTAAAATCGCCATCTGTGTGCTGGAAGGCCAAAGTGCTTTGTCTTCATGCTGAAGGCCACAGAGGCTGTGGTAGGAGCCTGCACTGCATTCAGCTCTGGCTGACTAACTATCGTTGTATTTCAAATAAAGCTGTAGATTAAGAAAAAAAGAATGGAGAAAAGTTTAACTCCTGGAAATTTTTCAGTGGAGCTTAAATTGAGCTATTTATTTTTCAGGGCTACAAAGGAACCTTTGTTTAATTTTGCCTCCAGCTTTTTTCTTTAATCTTTAACCTTTGAAAAGGAAAAGACTTACTTTCTGGAGTGAGCCCGTATTATTAAAAAAGACTTATCATTAAATGTAGATAAATATCCAAAAAAGACATAGAAGTGCATGTTTGGAAATGGTTCCAGGTTCAGTAGCTACTTGCTTTTCAAAGCCAAATTTCAAACTCATTAAATAAAGCTTCCTCTGCCAGCTTTTGTACTGAATAACTAGTACTGGAAAATAGCTTTATAATGTGGTGTCAAGCCTGAAAATATAATGAATCGAAGCTTTGTAATGTGATTCCAAATGAGTAACTCAATGCAACAGTTAAAACTTCTGTACACATAATAGCAGAAACCAAGAATATCTGCTCCACTCAGCAGCCATCAGAATAAAACCATTTTGTCCAAAGTTTGGAACATTTAAAATCATGCCTCTCACTGGAACATTTCTTAGCATTTTGCAGTTTCTCACAGAAGGGAGAAAAAGTCTTAAAAATATGCAGTCACTTACAAAAAAGTGTGAGGTCAGCTCCTAGACATGTACAAATGTATACAGGCTTAGAAAATTCA